TAAACCCTAAAACCCTAAACCCTAACAAAAAAGAGAGGCTACAAGGGCTACTGGGAACCCTAAACCCTAAACCCTAAACCCTAAACCCTAAACCCTAAACCCTAAACCCTAAACCCTAAACCCTAAACCCTAAACCCTAAACCCACCTCATAGGAAAGTCGTACCCTAAGACCACAGCAGGCAAACCCGAAACCCAGACCCCAAGACCCACAACACCAAGGTAACTAAACCCTAGACCCCAAGCCCTAAACCCTAAACCCCAAACCCTAGAACCTAGAACCCTAAACCCTAAACCCTAAACCCTGAACCCTAAACCCTAAACCCTAAACCCTAAACCCTAAACCCTAAACCCCAAACCCTAGTACCCCAAACCTAAAAGTCTTATCCTCAAAGAGCCCATGGCCTGCCAAAATCAGGAGGGCCAGACCAAGGCCTTGGAAGACGAAGTTCTCAAGGCCCTACTTACACACACACACACACATGTTTTTTGAGTTGGGGGCTTAGGGTTTAGGGTTTAGGGTTTAGGGTTTAGGGTTTAGGGTCTATGGTTTAGGGTTTAGGGTCTAGTGTCTAAGGTTTCGGGTTCGGGGTTTAGAGTACAGGGTTTAGATTCAGGCGGCTAGGGTCAAGGTTCGAAAGTTTTTGGCTCAGGGTTTAGTTTTTTTTTTTTTGGCCGGGGGGGGGGTTCAAGGGGGGTATATAGCTTAAGGTTCCATAAAACTGCCTAAGGCCCCCTAAGAACCCTATCAGTTTAGGGTTCGGGGGGGGGGGGTGGAGAGGCAAGCTGGCACGGCCGATTAGGAGGGTTGGCCCAGAAGGAGGTTCCCTGCGCATAACTGTGGATGACAGGGTGACCCTAAACCTAAACCCTAAAACCCTAAAGCCTGAACCCCAAACCCGAGGTTGTTTGCAGGGGGGGAATCTACAACTGCCAAAGCCCTACTCGGTGCCTTCGGGGTTAAGGTTTAGGGTTTAGGGTTTAGGGTTTAGGGTTTAGGGTTTAGGGTTTAGGGTTTAGGGTTTAGGGTTTAGGGTTTAGGGTTTAGGGTTTAGGGTTTAGGGTTTAGGGTTTAGGCTTCGCCTCAAACCGACAGCCCCGGTAGTTCTTAGGGAGGGGGATTCAGCGGGGGGCACGTAACCCAAGGTGCCCCTAGTACTCCCCACTACTCTGTAAGGCTCCCTAAGCGCCCTAAGCTTCCCTAGGTACGTACCCTAAACCCTAAACCCTAGTAGCCCTAAACCCTAAACCCTAGTAGCCCTAAACCCTAAACCCTAAACCCTAAGCTCCCATGAGCCTCCCTCCCAAGGGCCCCATAAAGTTCCTTGCCTCCTTGCTTTTGGGGGGGAGTTCAAGCACCAGGGTTATGGGGACTCCTAGGATTTAAGGATGGATGTCAGGATGAGAAGCTAGAACCCTAAACCCCAAACCCCAAACCCCAAACCCCAAACCCCTAAACCCTAAACCCTAAAACCTAAACCCTAAACCCTAAACCCTAAACCCTAAACCCTAAACCCTTAGTAGGCTTCGGGGAGTTTAGGCCTTGGAGGTTGAAGAGTGTTAGGGTCTAGGGAACCTATTCCCTATGCAGTCCCTACAGCAAACCCTAAGCTCCCTGAACCCCGAAGCCTTCGCACTGAAGAGAAGGGTTTAGGGTTTAGGGTTTAGGGTTTAGGGTTTAGGGTTTAGGGTTTAGGGTTTAAGGTTTAGGGTTTAGGGTTTAGGGTTTAGGGTTTAGGGTTTAGGGTTTAGGGTTTAGGGCGACTAAATAAACCCTAAGATTTCGGGTAGCTGGAGAAACCGCGTCTCGCATGGAGCAGGTCGAGGTCGGCCCACGCCGGGTCTGAGACGTCCAGGGGCTCCAGGGATGTAGGGTTTAGGGTTTAGGGCTACCAGGCCCTGGTAGCCCTAGGGTTTAGGGTCTCGGGTTCAGGGCTACCAGGGTTTAGGGTTTAGGGTTTTGGGTTGATTAGGGTTAGGGTTTAGGGTTTGGGGTTTAGGGCTTAGACAGCCGGAACCTGCCCGAAATCGGGCGCAGACCGGGCTCGGAGGGCTGCAAAGCAAGCCTCAACTTCGAGCCTTAGACCATGAACATCCTGCAGCCCTAAACCCTAAACCCTAAACCCTAAACCCTAGTAGCCCTAAACCCTAAACCCTAAACCCTAAACCCTAAACCCTAAACCCTAAACCCTAAACCCTAAACCCTAAACCCTAAACCCTACCAACCCTTTTAGGGCTCGTTTAGTCAGCAAGGCCTGAGGTCCATCGGATGCAGAGGTTGCCAAAACTCCTTCCCCCTCAAGGCTGCACTCTTAGAGGCTTCGGACTTAGGGTTTAGGGTTTAGGGTTTAGGGTTTAGGGTTTAGGGGTTGGGGTTTAGGGTTTGTGGTGGCTTACTTGGAGGATCAGGGTACTAAAAACATTATGTCTGTATTTGTAATCCCACTAAGTCCCCTACGTAGGTCATAAGTAGACTTGTATTTGGAGTTCGAAGTACCCATGAACCTCCAAGTGGGGCAGACTAAGACTTCGGGCTTAATCGGGTTTGGGGTTTATACAATGGGGTCTAGCATTTTTGGGCTTAGGATTTAGGGCCCTAAACCCCAAACCCTCAACCCAAAACCCCAAACCCTAAACCCCAAACCCTAAACCCCAAACCCTAAACCCCAAACCCTAAACCCTAAACCCTGAACCCTAAACTGCAGCCCTTTGGGGCCCCCAAAGCGGACGGCAGCTGTTCCGAGCCCAGCATTGCTCTGATCCGGTCGCCGGTCACAGAATGCTGTGCCCAAGCATCGGCCTGAAACCCTCAACCCGAAACCCGAAACCCTCAGCCCCAATTTCCTAAGCCCTAAGCCTTAAGCCCTGAGCCCCTCTGCCCTAAGCCGTGTATATGGTTCGTCTGAAATGCAGCGAGTGTATGGGGTATCCCCTTGGGGATACTACTTGGAGGTTCATGGTACTTTGTCACCCAACTATAACTGTACATATAACCCAATTATAACCCTGTAAGGGTACTTGAGGGGCTACTACGTGTGTTGTAGCTACACTTATAATTGGGTTACAAGTTCCCTGAACCTCTAAGTCGCAAGCAAAAGGCGCATGAACCCATATTAAGCCGCCAGAGATTTTGAACATAAGCCTCAGGGAGCCACATGCAGCAGAAGTAAGGACATTTGAGGATGTGACAATCGCCCTACGTGGTTTAGGGCGGAAGGTTCCTAAGCCCTCAGCCCTAAGCCCTAAGCCCTAAGCCCTAAGCCCTAAACCCTAAACCCTAAACCCTAAACCCTAGCCCTAAACCCTAAACCCCAAAGCGGCCTCCGGGTGTGAAATTCGCGGCTCGCCCGAGGCGAGCTGCTCTACGAAGGCGGCTGCAAAGGCAGCCGTAGTCCACCACTGGGAGGTTCATGGTACTTATTCACCAACTAGAACTGTTTAGGGTTTAGGGTTTAGGGTTTAGGGTTTAGGGTTTAGGGTTTAGGGGTTGGGGGTTAGGGTTTAGGGTTTAGGGTTTGGGGGTTATACCTACAGTTATATGTGGGTTATAAGTACCATGAACCCCCAGTAGTCCTCCAAGGCTCTCTCATAAGGATCCAGGCACCTGTAAGGGAGCTACATTTCCACGTTTAGGCTCAGGGTTTGGGGCCTAGGGTTTAGGGTTCAGGGTTAGGGTTGTTGAGGCTTCATTTTGGGGAAGATGGGCCCTTGCACCCCGCTCCCTGACACCTCCCTTGGTTCCTTATGACTCTTGGACGTGCACCCGACCAGGCTCCTGGGCTTGTTGAAAAAGTCAGGTCTAGAGTTCAGGGTTTAGGGCTTTAGGGTTTAGGGCTTTAGGGGTGAGGGTTTAGGGTGACCTGGGTTCAGGGTTTTGGGTTGAGGGTTCAGATGCTGACACGACACCCTTAGGAAATGGGTTTACAGTTGGGGGATTTGTTTTTGGGCTTGGGCTTTTGGAGTTTTTGTCGGGGTGCGGTCGCTTCAAGTTTCCTGGGACTGATTATTTAGGGAGTTGTGAGGGCTAGCAAGCAGGGGTGTGCAGTTGAAGGAATGTACGCTGAACTCAGCAGACTCCTGAACGAGCTATAACTCGAATTCATGTCCTGTGCGCCGCAAGATTTTTGAAGTTCACAGCCAACATCCCTAAATCCTAAACCCTAAACCGTAAGTTGCTTCCTGAAGGCTGGTCAGCCTTGGCACCGGGTGATACGTTTGGGGTTTAGGGTTTAGGGCTGGTTAGGGTTTAGGGCTAGTCTGAGCCCCTGTGCGCTCTGGCCTGCTTATTCCCCCAACCTTCAGGGCTTCAAGTGTGAACGTAAGCCCTGAACCCTAAACCCCAGACCGTAGACCCTAAACCCTAGACCCTAAACCCTAAACCCTAAACCCTAAACCCTAAACCCTAAACCCTAGACCCTAAACCCTAAACCCTAAACCCTAAACCTTCCCTCCCCAGACTACCCTGAACTACCATAAGATGTTGGCCTCCTGCCAGCTCTTCGGAGCGCTTGCGCCCGAAATCCGACCAGTGCCTACTTACCTGAAAATAGTTTCGAATTTTTACGTACTCCAATTTTTCATCATGAGTATTTCAATTCCTAAGAAACAGCTAAGATTGTTATTTCGCTAGGGTTCCAAGTTCAGTAGAGCTTAGGCCACCTTGGGGGCACAACTCCTGCCCAACTCCTAAACGCTCCTGCAAGGTCCTCACGGGTAATTCTAATAGGGTCTAGGGTTTGGGGTTTAGGGTTTCGGGTTGAGGGAATAGGGTCCCTTTGTGGGGGTCCGATAGTTATAGCACGGCACCGTTTAGAAAGGACCCCTTCCAGAAGGGACCTTAATTCTAAACGCTCAGGCTTCGTCTTTGGACCCCAGGACCCCACAGCCAGATTGACTCAGGGGGGGTTTAGGGTCTACGTAGGTTTTATTTTGGGTTTACGTCGGGTTTGTGGTTTAGGGTTGAGGGTTTAGGGTTGAGGGGTCCTCTCCTGTGTGTAGAAAGGTACTTCGTGGAGGTCTGGAAAGCCACCGGCATGGATATGTCGCGGGTGCGCCGAGAGAGGGAGAGAGGGAGAGAGGGAGAGAGGGAGAGAGGGAGAGAGGGAGAGAGGGAGAGAGGGAGAGAGGGAGAGAGGGAGAGAGGGAGAGAGTGAGAGAGTGAGAGAGAGGGAGAGAGTGAGAGAGAGGGGGAGAGAGGGAGAGAGAGAGGAGGAGAGAGGGAGAGAGGCAGAGAGGCAGAGAGGCAGAGAGGCAGAGAGGCAGAGAGGCAGAGAGGCAGAGAGGCAGAGAGGCAGAGAAGCAGAGAGGCAGAGAGGCAGAGAGGCAGAGAGGCAGAGAGGCAGAGAGGCAGAGAGGCAGAGAGGCAGAGAGAGGGAGAGGCAGAGAGAGGGAGAGAGGGAGAGAGAGGGAGAGAGGGAGAGAGGGAGAGAGGGAGAGAGGGAGAGAGGGAGAGAGGGAGAGAGGGAGAGAGGGAGAGAGGGAGAGAAGGAGTCAGGGAGGGAGGGAGGGAGGGAGGGAGGGAGGCAGGGAGGGTGAAGATAAGGTTACATGGTAAGATAAGATGGGAAGTGCGGCAATGTCATTTTGCAGTACTGAAGAATATATATATATATACATATGTATATATATATATATAAATCCTAAACCCTAAACCCTAAACCCTAAACCCTAAACCCTAAACCCTAAACCCTAAACCCTAAACCCTAAACCCTAAACCCTAAACCCTAAACCCTAAACCCTAAACCCTAAACCCTAAACCCTAAACCCTAAACCCTAAACCCTAAACCCTAAACCTTCGTAGTTTATGGTTTCGCTGAGAAGCTGGGGCCCGAAATCCGGAGCTTCGACGCCAGGTGGAGTTCCTCTGGTCTTCGGAGGAAATCAGCAAGCACGCCGAGCAGTACTGGGGCCAGGCCTCAGAGCCCGAAGGTAGGGTTTAGGGTTTAGGGTTAGGGTTTAGGGTTTAGGGTTTAGGGTTTAGGGTTTAGGGTTTAGGGTTTAGGGTTTAGGGTTTAGGGTTTAGGGTTTAGGGTTTAGGGTTAGGTTTAGGGTTTAGGGTTTAGGGTTTAGGGTTTAGGGTTTAGGGTTTAGGGTTTAGGGTTTAGGGTTTAGGGTTTAGGGTTTAGGGTTTAGGGTTTAGGGGTATAGGGGTATAGGGGTATAGGGGTATAGGGGTATACTGTAGGGGTATAGGGGTATAGGGTTTAGGGTTTAGGGTTCAGGGTCAGAGTTTAGGGTTTAAGGGTTTTACTGTTCAGGCTTTAGGGGGTAACTAGGGTTCGGTAGTTCAGGGGGTTTAGGGGATTCAGGGGTTTAGGGGTTTGGAGGGTCTTAGGGGGGTTCAGGGGGCTTGAGGGGGGTTTAGGGGGCTTTAGGGGGCTTTAGGGGGGGGGGGCTTAGGGCACTTCAGGGGCCTTGAGCTGACTTGCCCAAGCCCCCTAAATCGAAATCTACGACACGTTTTGTATGGTTTAGGTTTAGGGTTAGGGTTTAGGGTTCAGGGTTTAGGGTTTCGGGTTTCGGGTTCGGGTTTAGAGTTTAGGGTTTAGGGTTTCACGACCTCAAAGCTTCAAGAGCCCAATGACCTGCGAAATCCTCGAATGCAAGACACACGGAGCTTGCAATGTTCGCAAGCCACCAGAGCTACCAGAGCCACCAGCGCTACGAGACCGACGAAGATGATGCCATCAATGTCAGCACCGGCCATACCCACACCATCGAAAGAAAGCGAGCCCCCGGTCAGTGGACAGAACAATCGGGACATCAAACAAGCCCTGGCTTAGGGGGGTTTAGGGGGGGGGGGGGGTTTGGGGTTTGGGGGTTTAGCTATGGTTTCGTGTAAGGAACCAGAGCTAATGCACCATAGTAAGGTGTCAGGTTCAGGAGTTTAGGTTGGGCCTTACGGGAATTCTTGCAACATCCGCCCAAAAGCAAAGTGCAGCCAAAGCGACTCTGAAGTAGAACACATGCCTCCGCAGGTGATTTTCTGCAGTCACTCTCCACGCATGGGCAGTTCTAAGCCAGGTTTTATATGCCCATATGTGCCCAAGTTTACCGCTGCAGTAAGCCTACGGCACTTATACCCCACACCCTAAACCCTAAACCCTAAACCCTAAACCCTAATGCCACTCCCATGGCCAGGCTCTGCACATCGCGTCCTGCTTTACCCTGGCAAGGGCTCGCACTCTCAGAGACAGGGTGGCGGCTAGGGTATACTTGGAGGTTCATGGTGTTCTTAACCAATCATAACTGCACTTATAACCCACTTATAAGCACCTTAAGTACAGTCACAAGTACACTGATAGTAGGCTAGTAAGTGCCATGAAACTCCAAGTAGGGTTTAAGTTTGGTGCTTTTGTCTGAGTTTACTTGAATAGCCTATGTATTAGCTATGTTCTCATAAAGTTGTGGAGATTGCCATGTAGCCATTGCGAAGCTATACTTCCATGGTATAAGGTAGGTGAGAGGAAGGTTTTCGTTATTTTCGACTTTTGCGGGCCATATTCCCAACAGAACCCGGGATGACATGTTGAGCCTAAACAGTAGGTATTGGTTTGTTGTTGGGCTTAGAGGGAGGTCAATGTCACTTGGTAGTTTCAGTAGGGTTATCTTTGCATATAACTGCACCATACGCATGGCCCAACATAGTGGCACTTCCCGGAAAAGAGGACCCCTTCTGTATCACTAAATACTTTGGGAGGGCCCCCCACCCCATATTAAGTAAGGTGAATGGAAGAACTATCATGGGACTTGTGGGCGTTTTAGATTGTCGGGTCTGCGATTCATGGGTGCGTCCGACAGCTTAAAATCCTAAACCCTGAAGAGGTTTACGGGTTGATGGTTTAAGGGTTTTAGGGTTGCAGCGTTTGAGGCTTTTAGGGCTTCAGGGTTAAGGGTCCTCCTAAACCCTAAACCCTATACCCTGTAAACCCTAAACCCTATAAACCCTACAAACCCTAAACCCGTTTCGGGTTTCGGGTTTCCGGTTTAGGGTTTAGGGTTCGGGGTTTAGGGTTTAGGGTTTAGGGTTTAGGGTTTAGGGTGTAAACTCGTTGAGTTTCTCGAGGTGAAGAAGTGCTGCCAGATCATGGGCAGAGACGAGGACTCCCTGACCGCCGCCCGGAAGCCCGGGTGGGGCGTTTAGGGTTTAGGGTTTAGGGTTTAGGGGTTTAGGGGTTTAGGGGTTTAGGGGTTTAGGGGTTTAGGGGTTGAGGGGTTTAGGGGTTTAGGGGTTTAGGGGTTTAGGGGGTTAGGGGGTTGAGGGGTTGAGGGGTTTAGGGGTTTAGGGGTTTAGGGGGTTGAGGGGTTGAGGGGTTGAGGGGTTTAGGGGTTTAGGGGTTAGGGTTTAGGGCTTTGTTCACAAGAGGGTTGACGTAAAATGTGTATTTTATGGCGTTCACCCCCAGTCGCCGGCCAGGCTTTCTTCTGGACAAGACACCACCTTCATTCTGCCTACTGTCTCGGCACATTTCGGGTGAGTAGTCCTAAACCCTAAACCCGAAACCCTAAACCCAGAAGAGAACCCCGCTTAGTGTCCCTAAACCCTAAACCCTGAGCTACACTTGTAGGTTTCTGTGGTGCCTTCGAGGCGCAGATCCTCTATCCTCTCATGCAGTGTGCGGACATCTTCTTTCTCAAGGCGCTGGTTCTGACATTCTGGTTTAGGACTTAGGGTTCAGGAAACCCTAAACCCTAAATCCTAAACCTAAACCCTAAACCCTAAACCCTAAACCCTAAATCGCATGTTTCGGGAATTTGGGCCAAGCTTCGCCCACGCGAGCAAACAAAACCCTTAAACCCTTAAACCTTTAAACCCTTAACCCTTAAACCCTGAACCCTGAACCCTGAACGCCTAAACCCTAAACCCTAATCCCTGTGTGAGCCCCCCCCCCCCCCCCTGCACCTAAAGCCCTAATAAACTCCTAAGCCCTTGCCAAGAAGCCTCCTCTCGAAGCCAGAAATCCCCACACCCAACTCGGCGCGCGGGGTCTTAGCTAAACCCTTTCCCCTGAACCCTAAGCCCCAAGCCCCAAGCCCTAAACCCTAAGCCCTAAGCCCTAAGCCCTAAGACCTAAGCCTGAACGCCAAACTCCTTCAACCGTTTTGAGGCAGACATCTGCCAGCTGGGCGTCGACCAGCGTAAGGTTCTGGGCTTCGGGGTATTACGGTTCAGGGTTTAGGGTTTGGGGTTTAGGGTTTGGGGTTTAGGGTTTAGGGCTTGGGGTTTAGGGTTCAGGGTTTAGGGTTAGGACTACACCCTGAAACTCTTGCAAAAATTGGAACGTCGGCTTCACTTGGCGCGAAGCGTCACGAGTAGGGTTGTACCTGGCCACTGACACGCTAGCAAGACTAGGAAGTGCTCGGGTATATAGCCTTGAACAGCTTGTACCTGGTCTAAAGATCAACTCTTGCATGACTGCCACCATGCTCACTGTGGATTAGTACGAGTGAGAGAGACAGAGAAAGAGGGAGAGAGAGAGAGAGAGAAAAAAAAAAACACACACACACAGGTTCGCGCCCTCTTTCGAAGAGTCTTATGTACAACGGCATCATGGGGTACACACCTACAACATGTTCGCTGCCCCCTGCTTTCTGGTATTGATCCTTTGCAATCAGGAGTGTGCACACACACACAGAGGCGAGAGGTTAGCCTGGTGCGCACGCACCGACTGAAATTAGCCCCTCGTGAATCTACATGCAGAGTGTGCAATTATCATGCTCCACTGACCACCATGAACCAATCTTGTCTACGACGGGGTTTGTCCACACAAGGCCCCTCTGCGACCTTCTCTAGGTAGTACTTGGAGGTTCATGGTACTCACTTCTGAGCCCCTTAAGTGCCCTTATAAGGCTATGAGTGCGTTGTAAGTACAGTTCCTATTGGGCTAATAAGCACCCTGAACCTCCCAACTAGGAAGTATGATTTCTTGGTGAACCCTGAACTCCCCAACAAGATGGACCTTGTGGCTATCATGGTCAGAGGACGTCGTATAGTGTTTAGGGTTTTAGGGTTTTAGGGTTTAGGGTTTGGGGTTTAGGGGTTAGGGGTTTAGGGCTTAGGGGTTGGGGTAACCAAATTAGCCTCAAAACCCTAAACCCACTATGCAGGTGAACATGCTTGCAAGGGACTACTGCGATGCCGCAGGCGGACTTAGTACCAGAGTGGGTCTTGCACCCCTGTTTGGGGTGCTCAGGATTGACTTTTAGGGTTGCTCCTAAACCCCTAAGTTACTCTAATGATGGTTTCTTTCTGGGGTCACTATGATAAGGCGGCCCGGCCCCTAATCAATAATCAGGGTACCCAAAAAGGGAATTGACCGGGTTCAAGGTTTAGGTTTTGAGTCTTTTTAGGCTTTGGAGTTTGGGTCTAAAAGGTGAGGTTTTTTGGGACGGATCGGGTCTATAAGCCTCAGGAGCCTGATCGGGTTACAGCCCTAATAAACCATCAGATTTACAGGGTGTTTCGTGTTTCTTGTATAGGGTATAGGGTGGAAACTCCCTAAACCCTAAACCCTAAACCCTAAACCCTAAACCCTAAACCCTAAACCCTAAACCCTAAACCCTAAACCCAAATCCCTAAACCCTAAACTGTTGGGAAACCTTCGGGGGCCTGAAAGAGCTGCCAAGCCGCTACAGGATTGCAACTGGGCCTTTAGGGTTTGGGGGTTTGGGGGTTGAGGGGTTCAGGGGTTTAGGGGTTTAGGGTTTAGGGGTTTAGGGGTTAGAGTGCTTAGGCGCCCATGACCATCCTGAACCCGCCAAAAACCCTCAAACGTTCGAGTTTCGCCATCTGCGACCGCCCTCATCTGGGAGTTTTCGAAAATAGGGGACCCCTAAATTAGACTGATAATTTGACCCCCAAATAGTAGTATCCACTAACAAAAAAGGACCCCAGTAAGATACCCTAGACCCTAGACCCTAAACCCTAAACCCTAACCCCTGAACCTTGAACCTTAAACCCTAAACCCTATACACCCTAAACCCTACACCCCTGTTGAGGCAGGAAGCTAAAGCCGGTCATCCTGTCCCATCACATGCTCTACGGCCAGGGCCTTGAGAACTGGATTTAGGGTTTAGGGTTATAGGGTCTAGGGTTTAGGGCTACAGGGTCTAGTGTTTAGGGTTTAGGGTTTAAGGTTTAGGGTTTAGGATTTGGTGTTTAGACTTCAGGGTTGAGGGTATAGTAATAGAGCACCATAGTCAAGGTTCCCTGCAAGGGCACGATACTCACACTTCCCTGCCGTGAACTCTTGCAAACACCGGGGGGGGGGGAGGGGGGAAGGGCAGCCGAAAGTGAGGCCCAACACCTTAAACCTGAACCCTGAGCCCTGAAACCCTGAACCCGAAACCCTAAACCCTAAACCCTAAACCCTAAACCCTAAACCCTAAACCCTAAACCCTAAACCCTAAACCCTAAAGCGCGAACCTCGGTCTTCAAGGGTAGGTGTCCTTACAAATCGAACCATTAAAACCCTAAGCCCCAGCCCCCAGCCCCCCGCCCCCACTCAACCCCCCCCCCCCCCCCCCCCAAATTTCCAGCTTAGGGTGGTTTAGGGTTTAGGGCTAGGGTTTAGGGTTTAGGGTTTAGGGTTTAGGGTTTAGGGTTTAGGGTTTAGGGTTTAGGGGTTAGGGGTTAGGGGTTTAGGGTTTAGGGTTTAGGGTTTAGGGTTTAGGGTTTAGGGTTTAGGGTTTAGGGTTTAGGGTTTAGGGTTTAGGGTTTGAAGATGTCAGGGCTTCGGGTGTAGGTCCTGGCCGAGGCTTGAAGAAAGGGCAGGCGAAGATGTCCAAGTCCGACCCAGATAGCGCCATCTTCATGGAGGATGCTGTAGAGGACCAGGTTTACGGTTTAGGGTTTAGGGTTTCGGGTTTCGGGTTTCGGGTTTAGGCGGAAGGCTTGGGCTCACCGAAGTGGGGTGGTAGACGCGGAAGCACCTTCAGATGTGTGCCTCGCAATATGGGTTTGAGGACTTGTAGCCTTACATCCGATTCCTTCTTGAACTCTTTAGAACAGAAAGTAGCGGCCTGAATGACCCCCACGTCAAAAGCCTATGTACATCTTCAACCCCACCCCCGGCTTAGGGTCTAGGGTTCAGGGTTTAGGGTTTAGGGTTCAACGGTTAAGGGTTTAGGGATCTCGTACCAACCCCAGTCCACACAGGACGTCGTCCGAAAAATCGGCGGTGCCTACTGCCCCTCGGACACACCACAGAGGTTGACACAAATGCGAAGACCACAAGCCCCTAAACCCAAAAACCCTGAAGCCTAAACCCTAAACCGTAAACCCCTAAACCCTAAACCCTAAACAAACCCTAATCCCTTCAACCCTCTCGCCCCCCGCACCCTCGAAACAACTCAAGCTCCTCAACGTTGAATATTTGGGTTCAGGGTTTAGGGTTAGGGGCTTGTCAGGTTTAGGGTTGGTGTCGGGTTTGGGGTTTAGGGTTTAGGGCTTAGGGTTTAGGGTTTGATTTTGGGCTTAATGTTAGGATCGCTCTAATAACCCCCCCCCCCTCACCCCCACCCCCAGGAGTTGTTCCTGTGCTGGATCAGAACAAAAGTTTGGGGAAGCCAGGTGGTCATTATGAACCTTTGGGGCCTGGCCTCTTCTCTGCCTCTTCTGGTTTAGGGTTTAGGGTTTAGGGTTTAGGGTTTAGGGTTTAGGGTTTAGGGTTTAGGGCTTAGGGTTTAGGGTTTAGGGTTTAGGGTTCAAGGTGTAGGGTTTAGGGTTTGCTTCTGGCGTCAACCCCAAAGGCCGGAGCCCCCTTCTAATTAGTTCTGAACTCGAAGCCCCCAGAAGACCCCACTCTTCTTCACAAAAAGCCCTCAACCTTAAACCCCTAAGCCCGAAACCCTAAACCCTAAACCCAAAACCGACCCCTAAATCCTAAACCCTAAACCCCTAACCCCTAAACCCTAAACCCTAAACCCCTAACCCCAAACCCTAAACCTGCGGCTCAGGCCCCTCCGCCCCTGAGGACATGGCGACGCCAGCGCCTGAATTCAGAATCTAGGCTTTGGGCGTTAGGGTTTAGGGTTTGGGGTTTAGGGTTTAGGGTTTAGGGTTTAGGGTTTAGGGTTTAGGGTTTAGGGTTTAGGGTTGGGAGTTGAGGGTTTACGACTCAGGGTTCAGAGGTTCATGGGTAGATGAAGGTGGGTTTAGGGATGTCATAACCCTTACGATCGTTTTTGCGGTTCTTGTGGTGTTCAGCTACCCAAGACGCCCATTCGGATGCTGTTGTACACCCTAAACCCTAAATCCTAAACCCTAATCCTAGACCCTAAAGCCTAGACCCTAAATCCTAAGCCCGAAATCCCTAAATCCTAACTTAGAACCCCTACTGCCTGCCGAGCAGAAGCCTTCACAAACGGGAGTTTGACCAAGTGGTCGAAGCCTCGGCTACTTTACCGCCACGCGTATGTACCACACACAGCATTCACAGACGAGCTTCGACGCATGCAGGCGATCCACAAAATCAAGAGCAGCCCAACTAGATTCGAACCAGCCACTGGTGTACGTGCTATGTGGACAGGTGCCTTCCCGCGCCAACCAACATGTACCCTAAACCCTAAACCCTAAAGCCCAGAAAAGTTGGAACCCCAAAACGCTGAACCCTAAACCCTAAACCCTATACCTAAACCCTAAACCCAGGCTACCACAGGCAACCTGAGAACGAAGAGGGCAATCGTTGTTTGTTGTTGTTTCGTCGAAGGTTCAGGGGTCTAGCGTTTCGGGTTCGGGGTGTAGGGTGTGGTGTTTGGTTCTTAGGGTTTTGGGTCGAGAGGTCCCGCAGTAGCCTGTAGGAAGGAAGTGGTACAGTACATTGTTTTTTGGCACGGGGCTTGTCATTCACAAGGGGACTCAAAGCCTTAAGCCCCAACACAACGCGCCTTAACCCCCAAACCCCAAAGCCCCCACCACCCTTAAAGCCCTAAACCCTAAGCCCCAAACCCTCATCAATAACCTAAGCCCTAAACCCTAAACCCTAAACCTTAAACCCTGAACCCTAAACCCTAAACCCTAAACCCGAAACCCGAAACCCGAATCAGCCCGTACACCCTACGCACGAAACCTGAAACCCGGCCTCAAACACAGCCAGGTCGCAGCCCAAGAGCTCCGAAGGAATGTCTTTGGTGGAGGACCCTCCTATCGGGGGGTTCAGGGTTTAGCGTTTTGGGTGTGGCAACGTTCTTAGCGCGCGTCGTGGGCCCTATAGAGTGGCTTTCACGGGCCCACTCCTACGTGCGCACATCGCGTGGCGGTACACCCACCCCAAACCACCCGGCGTATAGCATTTAGGTTTTCGGCCCCAGAGTCTGGTTGGTGCTCTTATCCGCAGTGGGCCTGTTCCACTGCAGCCGTGGGCTGTCGTAAAGCGTCCCTCGTTCAGTTCAGACAGCTTTACCTGGCCTGCACATGGCGTGTGGTCAGGTCGCTCGCTGAGCGCTCGGACGGCTTCGGGCTCTCACGTGGTGGTAGCGAGCCCTCAGCCGGACTTTAGGGTTTAGAGCTTAGAGTTTAGAGTTTAGAGTTTAGAGTTTAGAGTTTAGGGTTTAGGCTTCAGGGCTTAATATAGGGGTCGGAATAATCTATTACGAATAGTATTCCCTTCGGTCCCTTTTACTTGACAAGAATAACCCTCAAAGCCCTGTTGTAATTGTTCAGGCCCCTATATTAGGGGTTTAAGGGCTGATTAGGGTTCAAACGTTGATGAGGGTTTCGCTTAGGTTTTTAGTGGCTTAAGGCTTGATTGGGGATTAGGGGGTTGGCGGTCTTAGCAGTGGTTTCAAGGTGGATTCGGGTTTATGTTTTAAGGGCTGGTCAGGGTCGAAGCGTTGATGACGGTTTAGGGTATTGGTCTTAAGACGGTTTAAGGGCTAGTTCGGTTTAGAGTTTAGGGTTTGAGGGTTGATGAGCGGTTAGGGTTGAAGGGCCCAAAAGCTCTTGTGGGTTTAGTGGCTCAAGGGTTGAGCAGGGGGTTCGGGTTTAGGCGTAAAAGGGTTCGATAGTTAGGGTTTGAGGGTTGATTCGGGTTTAGGGTTAAGGATTTGAGGTTTCGGTGGGGTTTAAGGGTGCAAGGGTTGATTGGGGTGTAGTGGCTCTGGGTCGGTTAGGGTTTGGTCCTTGTAGCTGAAATACACTTTACACTGTTTCGGGATACTCTCATCCCCTATAGACCTGAAAGTCTCCACTTCTTTGGGGCTTATGAACCCAGCGACTATGGAGTGAGGGTTTAGGGTTTAGGGTTTAGGGTTTAGGGTTTAGGGTTTAGGGTATAGAGTGGTTTTGGGTTGTTTTTGAGTTTGGTGGAAGACCATCCCATGGTCTTTTGCTGGTTGAGGGTGAATAGGACTTCAGGGGCCAAGGGTCTAGGAGGGCTTGTAAGAAGTTCGGTCTTTCGGGTTTCAGGGTTTGGGAAGTAACTGTTCGGGTTTTTAAATGGCTTTTGCGTTTTTGTGATGGAGGGCCCTAGCACCGCATTTGAGACTACCATTTGTTGACTATTGGGGCAGCTGCTTTCCAGTCCGTCTCGGGTTACCCATAGACTACAAATACCTCTGGGTTCAAGAATGTGAACCCGAAACCCGAAACCCGAAACCCGAAACCCGAAACCCGAAACCCGAAACCCGAAACCCTCAAGCCTAAACCCTAAACCCCAAATCCTAAGCCCTAAACCCTTACCCCCCCCCCCCCCCCCCCTCCCCACCCTTTCTTTGGCCAGGACGACCTCATGAATCCATGCCTTGACTACATCCGGCTGCTCGCCTTCAGCATAGGTGGCTGTAGGCTTTCTAGGGCTACCCTAAACCCTAAACCCTGAACCCTGAACCCTAAACCCTAAGCCCTAAGCCCTAAACCCCAACCCCTAAACCCTAAATCCTAAACCCTAAACCTTTGGGATAAATCCCTTCCCCGCCTTCGGAGTTCTGGGGTGTTTGAATACTGCGGAGGGGGGGGGGGGGTGAATAACACGGTGAGGGGATTACTATGGGTTTGAGGCGTTTCTGAACTCAAACCCTCAATCCTAACGCCCTAAACCCTAAATCCCTTAAACGCTAAACCCCCAGACCCCCAACCCCCTGTGCAAGTCGCTAAGTGCTCCCCAGGTTTCGACGTGGGGTCTCGGGTTTAAGGGTAAGGGCTTGGATTGGATTGGGTTCCCTAAACCCTAAACCCTAAACCCTAAACCCTAAACCCTAAACCTTGGGATAAATCCCTTCCCCTGGTGTTTGAGGCTTGAAGAGGTTCCAGCTCCCCAATGGTACTCGTCCATGTCCAAGGGGGTTTTGGTGGCTGGGCTACCAAGTTAGGGTTTAGGGTTCAGGGTTCAGGGTTTAGGGTTTAGGGTTTAGGGCTAGGGTTTAGGGTTTAAGGTTTAGGGTTTAGGGAACTGACTTTGCCCAGGTACACACTGTTCTCTCAGGAGGGCTATGTCTTCAAGGTCGCCGGCGGCAAAGCCTACGAGACCTTCGAGGACCTGGGCCTGAAGCCCCCCCCCCCCAAGCATCCTTTGAAGGGTTTAGGGTTTAGGGTTCAGGGTTCAGGGTTCAGGGTTTAGGGTTTAGGGTTTAGGGTTTAGGGTTTAGGGTTTAGGGTTTAGGTCGTGGTTTCAGGGGTCCGGGGTGTAGGGTTTTTGCTGTTTGTAGGGTTCGAGGTTTTAGGGTGTTCAGGGTTGGAGACGCCCTAAACCCAAAACCCTAAACCCTAAACGCTAAACCGCCCTGAAGGACGTGAAGCAAGACTTCATGGGCGGCCACATCTCCGAGAGTGAGCTGAAAGAGAGCCTCACGAAGGAGGCTCCCTATGGGTTTACGGTTTAGGCTTTAGGGTTTAGGGTATTTCGGTTTAGGGTATTTCGGTGTTTAGGGCTAAGGGTTCAGGGTTTAGGGTGAAAGCCTCAGCCCAAGTCGCTGATCATCTGGCCGACCGAAGATGGCAGGTGAACGCGCTGCTCGAGCCGGCGCCCCCGCGGCATTTAGCACGGTTTAGGGTTTAGGGTTTAAGGTTTGGGGTTTAGGGTTTCGGGTTTAGGGTTTGGGTCTTTTGGGAAAGGTTGCTTGGAGGCTCAGGGTACTTAGTAGCCCAATCATAGCTGTATTTTAACCCAATTCTACCCACGCTAGGAGGCTACTTAAGGGGCTTATAAAAGGGTAGGGTTTAGGGTTTAAGGTGTAGGGTTTAGGGTTTAGGGTTTAAGGTTTAGGCCGACAGTAATAAGTGGTTATGAATATCCTGAACCTCCAAGTGGGCATGTTCGGCCACAGTCTAGGCCGGGGTTCGGAGGTTGAGGCTTGAAGGGTGAGGCCCTACACCCTAAACCCTAAACCCTAAACCCTAAACCCTAAACCCTAAACCCTAAACCCTAAAGCCTAAAGCCTAAACCCTAAACCCTAAACCCTAGCCCTAAACCCTAAACCCTTTTAGGGTTCAGGGGGCCTGAGCTATGCTTCAGCCTCAGACTTCAGGTGGCGGGAAGGACTTCTGGGGCCCGGTTTTCGCCCTGAGCCCTAAACCCTAATCTTCAGCCCTGGCACTTGAGGCTTATTTGGGGGCTAGTGAGGGCTTTTTGGGGTTTAGGATTTTGGTACTTCCGCCATTTTTGGGGACTATTGAGGGCTTTTAGGTATAGCTTCTTTAGGGTTGTTGTAGGCTTATTTTATGTGTACTCCGTTCGCTTAAGGAAACGGAGTTTTGCGTACTTTGTGAGGCCTTTGGTCACAGGTTTGGGCAACGCAGGGCGCTGGGAAGTGAGGACAGAACTTGGCATCTGTCGAGGGAAACGGGACTGTTGGACGTCTCCCTGAGCCTTACATCTCTCTGGCTTCGACCTTTGACCTTTGATCCGGCTGAAGAAATACAGGAGACGTTGGAAGAGCGCCGCCCGTCTGCATGCTCAGAAGAAAGAACTGAAAGCGGAGAGCAAGGCGAACTGGAAAGCCCTAAAAGTTGCCAAGCAGAAGAAGCGAAGGCTGGGAAGCCTTGTCGGACGCGGCTTCTGTTCGCTGTGCTGCTGCTGCAGACATTGTGAGTGCTGGCTGAGTCGATATGTGAGAACATCTGCCAACGCCTGCATTGGTGTTATCAAGAAGACGACTGTGACAGATCCATAACCTTGTAACGAAGAATCTGTTTGTGATGGTTCTCAGGCAAATCGTAGAAAAGGATCACATAGGGCGCCTAGTTTCCGAATTCCCTGCAACCAGTGCTTGGGGTTTAGGGGCCAAGCTACATAAGCCTCGCAACTTTTGTCCCTAAGCGCTCCTGTAGAAAATAGGATAGTTGGGCGATACCTTTAACTTTTACCCCAGACTCCGACCCTTATCCCTAAACAACCACAAGGGCTCAAACCCAAAACCCCAAACTTGTAACCCTAAAGCCCTAATCTGCAAGCCGCTAGATCCTCACCCCTATCCTAAATTCTGAAGCCCCCTAAACCCTAAACCCTAAACCCTAAACCCTAAACCCTAAACCCTAAACCCTACACCCTAAACCCTAAACCCTAAACCCTAAACCCTAAACCCTAAACCCTAAACCCTAAACCCTAAACCCTAAACCCTAACCCTAAACCCCTTACGAGGTGCGACGCCACTTCACCGAGGACGAGCACGCGAAGGAGCTGCTGGCCAAGGCCGCCTTGGGGCTGAATTAGAGGGTTTAGGGTTTAGGGTTTAGGGTTTGGGGTTTAGGGCTACTAGGGTTTTTAGGGTTTAGGGTTCAGGGTTTTAGCATTTAGCGTTTAGGGTTCAGGGTTCAGGGTTTAGTTGAGGGTTCTAGCGTTTAGGGTGTAGGGTAAACCCCAGGGTGTTTTGTGCCTTTGTTTCAGGGTTTAGGGCCTTCGGGGCTCTTTTTGGTTTGGGGAGTTGCAGGCCTCTGAAACCTTTGTGGTTCAGGGTTTACTGCCTTTGGGGGCCTTCAGAGGGCCTTTGTGATTTGGGGTTTAGGGTTTAGGGTTTAGGGTTTAGGGTTTAGGGTTTAGGGTTTAGGGTTTAGGGTTTAGGGTAAGTTTAGAGTTTAGGGGTTTTCGGGCCTCTAGGGCCTTTGTGGTTTAGGTTTAAAGCCTTTAGGGTCTTCGGGGTTGAGGGTTTAGGGCTGCTAGCCCTTTGGTTTCTAGGAAGCCACAGCCCTAAGACCTTCTTCTAACTTCGGTTTAAACTGAATTTCAACGCAGGGTATCTGTAGTCCTCAAGACGGCACAGATAAGCAGGCCCAGATAAGGGTCACCAGGCCCAAAAAGGCCCCAAAGTCTTGCACGCTGGGGAAGCAAGGAGAGGAAGGGACCCTTATAAGAAATGTTAGGGCTTCTTTAGGGGTCAATCTGGGGCCACTACTTAGGTAGATAGGTGCTATCTCAGGTATATACAGTGGTTATATAGGGGAATGAGAATAATGTGTTTCTTCTAGGGGTCCCTCCTTATACCCCCTAAGTGAGGGTTTAGGGGTTAGAGTGGACGGTTTAGGGTTGAGGGCTTAGGGCTTAGGGTTTAGGGAGTGTAGAGGGGGAGCGTTAGGATGCAGGAGTTAGGGCTTACTAGGGCCGAGCAGAGGTGACATCCTGGCGCAAGGAGACTTTGGAGAAGAAGCGGCGGAGCTCAGTGTGTGTCCCCTAAACCCTAAACCCTAAACCCTCAACCCTCAACCCTCAACCCTAAACCCTAAACCCTAAGCATTAGGTTTAGTGTGGCAGGGCTTGCAGCTTGGGGATGAGGGTTTTGGGTGTAGGCATAAAGTAGAGTTACAAGTACCGTAGTAGGGGCTTCAACAACAACTTTCCAAAGCCCCCAATGCTCCACGCATAGGCGCCCAAGCAGCTCGAAAACCCTAAGATCCCTAAAACACCTAAAGCCCTAAACCCCTTAAGGGTTAAGCCGCCGTAATCGTAACCTGCCAAATGAGTAGGTTTGGGTTTTTGAAGAAAAGAAACAAGCCCCTAAACCCTAACCCCTCCCAATGCCAAATCGAAATGCGTAAGCAGATCATCCCACCGTCCCTCAGGCTCATTCCCCTTTCATCCTCTGCGTTGAGACAGGATCTCGAGTCAAGTCACGCCTCGAATTTAGGATTAGGATTTAGAGTTTAGGGTTGAGGGTTTAGGTGTCCCTTCTGGGTGTCCTTATACGTGTGGGATTATACTCGGTTTCGGGGTATATGCCTGCGTTCAGGGCTTAGGGCTTGGGGTTTAGGGTGACGCCTTTTCGAGTTCCCCCCCCCCCCCCCTGAGTCTCGAGCCTAAAGTGCTCAAGCATCTTTGAGAGCATTGCGGTTTAAAGTTAGGGTTTAAGGTTTCGGGTTTAGTGTTTAGGGTTTAGGGTTCTCCAAACCCTAAACCCCCTAGACCCTAAACAAACAGGTCCTCTCTGGTTCGTCTGAGTTTGGACAGCCTCCTCGAAGGGGGGGCGCGTGCCCCGGGCTCTGGGTTCAGGGTTTAGGGTTTAGGGTTTAGGGTTTGGGGTTTGGGGTTTAGGGTTTGGGGTTCAGGGTTCAGGGTTCAGGGTTTAGGCCTTAGGGTTCAGGTCACCACGGTTTAGGGTTCAGGGCTTTAGATATTGTGGGGGGGGGGGGGGGGGGGGGGAGGTTTTTATTTGGGGGTGCAGAGCTTCGTGACTCGGGTCTGAATTGCTGCTTCATATAAGTAGGGTTGAGGTTTAGGGTTGTTCAGGGTTTAGGTGCAGCTTATGGTCCCCTAAACCCTAAAACCTAAACCCTAAACCCTAAACCCTAAACCCTAAACCCTAAACCCTAAACCCTAAACCCTAAACCCTAAACCCTAAACCCTAAACCCTAAACCCTAAACCCTAAACCCTAAACCCTAAACCCTAAACCCTAAACCCTAAACCCTAAACCCTAAACCCTAAACCCTAAACCCTAAACCCTAAACCCTAAACCCTAAACCCTAAACCCTAAACCCTGAACCCCGAACCCTGAACCCTGAACCCTGAACCCTGAACCCTAGCCCTAGCCCTAAACCCTACCTTGTCATTCCTAAGCCCTAAGCCCCAAAGCCCGACCCTAAACCTCAAACCATTTAAACCCTATAAAAGCTGTAAAGCCTATGAACCCTATAAACCCCAAACCCTGTAAACCCTATAAACGCCATAAACCCCATAAACCGCAAACCCTAAACCCCAAACCCTAGACCCTAAACCTCCAAACCCTAAACCCTAAACCCTAAACACCCCAAACCCCCAAACCCTAAACCCTAAACCCTAAACACCCTAAACCCAAAACCCCAAACCCAAACCCCAAACCCTAAACCCTAAACACCCTACACCCAAAACACCCTACACCCAAAACCCCAAACTCAAACCCCAAACCCTAAACCCTAAACACCCTAAACACCCTAAACCCCAAACTCAAACCCCAAACCCTAAACCCTAAACACCCTGAACCCCAAGGATGCCAAGCTCTCCGTCATCTTCGCCCCGGCGCCCTCCGAGTGCGACGTTAGAGGGCGTTTAGGGTGCAGGGTTTGGGGTTTGGGGTTTGGGGTTTAGGGTTTAGGGCTTCGGGTTTGGGGTTTGGGGAAAAGGGTTTAGGTTTTGGGGTTTGGGGATTACGGGGTCTAGGGTGTTCCTGCTATGTTGTAAGGTAAAACCCGTCGTGAGTTTTTTGGCTTTCCTGCAAGGTCTGCGGCCTACTAGCGATGTAACTCGACTCTGTTACGAACTCTTCTCCACCGATAGCCCGGCTAAGCCTTGCTGTTCTTGGGGGAACAGACCCTAAACCCTAAACCCTAAACCCTAAACCCTAAACCCTAAACCCTAAACCCCAAACCCCAAACCCCGAAACCCTAACGCGGCGAGAAAGCCCCTGGAAGTCGGGAGGAATCTTCGATCGTGGGGGGCAGTGCGGGGGTTTATTCACACGCTTGCGCTAGAAACATTTTGCAGCTGAAGGCTTCCCCTAAACCTTCAGTCCAACAGATCCTCTATGGTCACTCTGATTTAGGGTTTAGGGTTTAGGGTTTAGGGTTTAGGGTTTAGGGTTTAGGGTTTAGGGTTTAGGGTTTAGGGTTTAGGGAAGTGACCATATACACTCTCAGCCCAGAGCTCCGCACGCCGCAGACTGACATGTCTGCTTGCCCTTCGATGGCAGACCGGCCAGGTACGTTCGCTTGTCAGATGTACTGGAGGCCGTTTAGGGTTTAGGGTTTAGGGTTTAGGGTTTAGGGTCATGAGGTTTGGGTTGGTTTGTCAGTTGTCTCTACACGGCTTGCTGGGTCAATCTCCTCAGCCCAATAGACCTCATAACATTCCCGCAAGTCAAAGTTCCCAGGCGCCTGGTAGGATCCAAAAAGTAGAACCTCAAAATAGTGCCCTATACTCATTGGGTCATTCTTAGGAACCCTTAAGGGGATCTACTTTTTGGATCCTCCCAGGAGTCTGGGTTAGCATAATATAGGGGTCGGAATAAGTACTAATAATATTCCCTTATGGTCCCTTTGTAATAATACCATAAGAACCCCAAAAACCCTATTCTAATTAATCAGGCCCCCAGAATACATAACAGAGGTTCTCATGTTCGGTTGCAGCCAGTCGGAGGCTTCAAAGGCAGGGTGACAAGGAGTGCTCGCATCTATTGTCCCACGCGTCAAAGCTCCGGAAGAGTCAACCCTAAACGCTAAACCCTAAACCCCAAATCCTCAACCCTAAACCCCAAACCCTAAACCCTAAAGCCTAAACCCTAAAGCCTAAACCCTAAACCCTAAACCCTAAACCCTAAACCCTAAACCCTAAACCCTAAACCCTAAACCCTAAACCCTAAACCCTAAACCCTAAACCCTAAACCCCAAACCAAACCCTAAACCTGGAAGAGTCAGCGTCAGCTTTGGCTTTCCTGTGACCAAAGCAAGGGTGGCCATCAGGAGCCTGTAGTGGTGGGGACTGCTATTACTACTTGGTAGCCCATTGGTGCCCTGTTCCCTTTTTTGGGGTCCAAGGTTTCCTTATAAAGTAACCAACCCAGAAAAGGGTGCCCGCATTATAATAGGGTTACTGGGCTACTAAGACTAAGTCTCCAGTTTGCCCAAACTACCAACCTTATCCTGAGAATGACCCTCCAAGTATGCCTACGCAGCTCGGTGATCCCTATTTCGTTAAGGTACGTAACCTTCAGCCCATGTAGGGCTCATTTTGGTCCTCAACGTTCGGGTTTGGGGTTTGGGGTTTAGGGTTTAGGGTTTAGGGTTTGTGCTTGAACCTAAAACCAAGGACCCGGACATGTGTTCCGAACTTGGAGGAAGCCCCATACTCACTGCATGTCCTCTAAATTAGGGCTCTCGTTTGAGTGCCATTTGGGTGCCCTGAAAAAGACAGAAGGCCGAAACTCTAAACCCGGAACCCCAAACCTAATTTCGGCATGTCACCACATCGGCACTGCCCCAGGTCTTAGAGAGACTGCGTTCCGCCAGTGGACAGCGGGTGCTGTGGCTTCAGGCTCCTGGTGGTGATTTCAGGGTCTAGAGTTTAGGAGGCATGGCAAGATCCACTTTCTTGCGTACGAGTTCTTGTAGGACCCTACACATGGTGAGTTCTATTCATGTGTGCCCTTGAACTGTAGTCCCTCTTTTTACCCTAAGCCCTAAACCCTAAACCCTAAACCCTAAACCCTAAACCCTAAACCCTAAACCCTAAACCCTAAACCCTAAACCCTAAACCCTAAACCCTAAACCCTAAACCCTAAACCCTAAACCCTAAAACCTAACCCCTAAACCCTAAACCCTAAACCCTAAACCCTAAACCCTAAACCCTAAACCCTAAACCCTAAACCCTAAACCCTAAACCCTAAACCCTAAACCCTAAACCCTAAACCCTAAACCCTACCCCTCTGCCAGCCGGAGGACTGGAGCGCGAGATGCCTCGGCTTGGCGGGTGGCTCGGCCCGGGCTCTCAAAGTGCGGAGGGTTTAGGGTTTAGGGTTTAGGGTTTAGGGTTTAGGGTTTAGGGTTTAGGGTTTAGGGTTTAGGGTTTAGAGTTTACAGTCAAATTCGTGTCCAGGGTTTAGGCGTTTGTGGGGCTGACGTTTTGTGAGTCCACGCTCCCAACACATCGCGAAAACCAATAAATAACAAAACCATAAAGACCATGATTGTCCAAACCATTGGCTGGGGCGGCCGAGTAGTTTCCAAGATCATGGTTTTGGTTGCGCTGTTTTGAGAGCATGGGCTCACAAAACATCGGTGCTACCGATGTTTTTGCAAGGCCACTCTGAAAAAAAAACAACAAGCATCAGCAATGATTTTGCGAGGCAACTCTCACGATATCTGTTGTTGGAATGCAGCCTTTCGCAAACCTTTGGTGAAACCAAGAACTGTTTGAAGGCAGGCCTGGTAAGGTTCCGCAATCCTTGAGCGCTGGGGAGGGGGGGGGGTTTAGGGTTTAGGGTTTAGGGTGTAGGGTGTAGGGTGAGTGTAGGGTGTAGGGTTTAGGGTTTCGGGTTTAGGGTTTAGGGTTTAGGGTTTAGGGTTTAGGGTTTAGGGCTTGCTGATGAGTTGACGGGCCTGGCTGCATCTTCCACCCACACCGCTCCAGCGTGCTTTGGTTCCCTTGCGTGGCATGCTGGCCGCTGCAGGATTCCTAGGTAGGATAAGGGGCACCCTTAAAGGGGAACCCTTCTTAACCCTCTTCTGGCTCTCTTAAGCAGGGGCCTTACTCAGAGGGTCTATATCCCCAAGGGTCCCCCTTAATCCTACCCCCTAAGGATACTGCTGCATCTTGTTGATTGCCTTGTTCTCTCCGCTCTCAAGGTGCCAGCCCTCTTTCCCAAACCCCAAACCCCAAACCCCAAACCCCAAACCCCAAACCCCAAACCCCAAACCCCAAACCCCAAACCCCCAAACCCCCAAACCCCAAACCCCAAACCCGACGCACCGCCCTCAGAAGCAAGGCGGGAGACCACTATTGTAGTTTACACAGATGCTGTACAGCCCCGTTGCGTGTTGCCTAAAAATCCCTAATCCCTAAACCCTAAACCCTAAAGCCGTGAGAGGAAGATGGCCATGTTGAGGCCGGCGCACATACAGAAAAACAACAGCAGCGTGTAGGTTGATGGGGGGGTACCATATATACACACATGTGTCTATATTTATATACGTACTGTTTATGAATTTATGTATTTGTTTATTTATTTATCCTTTTAAGGTCTTTTATTATAGTTTTGTAGGCTTTTCTGGGGCCTTAGGTTTTTTTGCTTTGGATTTCGGCTTTGAGGTCGAGTGTAGTATCTAGATTCAGGTCGACTGCATCAACGGCTTCTACGAGCTGCTCCTGCCTGCACCCCACGAAGAGGCTTCAGGTTTAGGGTTTTCGGGTTTCGGGTTTAGGGTTTAGGGTTTAAGGTTTAGGGGGGGGGGGGGGGGGGGGGGGTTTCAGGGCTAGAGTTTAGGGGTTTCTGGGTTGAGGGTTGTGGGTTCAGGGTTTAGGGGATCTGGGTTTAGGGTTTCTGGGTTTCGGGTTTAGGGGTTTCTGGGTTTAGGGTTTAGGGATTTCTGGGTGCTGGGTTTAGGGAAAAACTACGGGTTCAGGCAGTCGGGTCAGGGTTCAGGTGCAGGGAACCGGGTTTAGAGTTTAGGGAGCCGAGGTTGAAGTATCCAAGAGTCCTGAAGACCGAAGGCAAGAGCAATCTGAGCCACCCACAGATTCGGTGGTTTAGGGTCTAGTTTAGGGTTTAGGGTTTAGGGTTTACCCTAAGAACCCCAAAACCCTTTTTATGCAAGTTCTTAGTTTAAAAAATGCCTTATAGGATTCTTAGGTATCCTAAAGCAAGGCAGGGTTTGAGGGGTAGGGTTTAGGGTTTAGGGTTTAGGGTTTAGGGTTGAGGGTTGAGGGCTGAGGGTTGAGGGTTCAAGGTAGGTGGTCGGTTGTCGTAGACCTCCCTTCTAACCCCCGGGAGCCCCAAAGCCTCCCCTTCCCGCCCCATCCCTTTAGGGTTTAGGGCTTAGGGTTTAGGGTTTAGGGTTTAGGGTTTTAGGGTTAGGGTTTAGGGTTTAGGGTTTAGGGTTTAGAGTTTAGGGTTTAGGGTGAAAAGTGCATCGAGCCCGAGGCCCAAGAACCCTGCGACCCACATCTCAGAAAAACCCAAAACTTCTCCCTAAGCCAAAGCCCAAGCCAAGAGATTCGACTGAAAGCATAGTTGTAGCGTTGCGCTCAGTAGGGGCGTCTGTGCTCTCTTTGCGCCGCTAAACCCTAAATACTAAACCCTAAACCCTAAACCCTAAACCCTAAACCCTAAACCCTAAACCCTAAACCCTAAACCCTAAACCCTAAACCCTAAACCCTAAACTCGAGCTGGCTTCGGTCATCGAAGCGTCGCTCCCTTTTGTCTCGAGAGTTCCGGCGTTCGCCTCAACAGGGCCTTTGTTTTTTTGTTCATGCCCTTTTTGGGTTTAGGGTTTAGGGTTTAGGGTTTAAGGTTTAGGGTTTAGGGCCCATGATAAGGGAAGCATCGTTTAGAAGGTCTGGGGTATAGGTCAGCCAAACCCCGAACCCTAAACGGAGCCCTGCTACAGACTCAGTATTCCGAGCCCAGATTCCTGGAGGTGTAGCAGCACGGAAGCTTCAAATGTCAAGCCGAATCCCTCAATCCCTGAATCCCCAGACCCCTCAATCCATAAATTAAACCCGAAACCCTGAACCCTCCTAACCCTCCGAACCCCCCTAAACCCTAAACCCCAAACCCCAAACCCTAAACCCTAAACCCTAAACCCCAAAACCCTAAACCCTCAACCCTAAACCCCAAAACCCTAAACCCTAAACCCCAAACCTCAGAGCCGCACCTGAGGCACGGCCTCCGGTCGTTGGACCCACAGCTCATGGAAGAGGCAAGTTCTCCGTTTAGGGGTTGAGGCGTTTAGGGGTCTAGGGGTTTAGGGGTTGAGGGTTTAAGGTTTAGGGTTTGGGGGTTTAGGGGTTTGGGGGTTTAGGGGTTAAGGTTTAAGGTTTGGGGGGTTTAGGGGTTTAGGGGTTTAGGGTTTAGGTTTTAGGGTTTAGGGTTTAGAGTGCCCAGCGGTTTAGGGTTCAGGCTTTATTTTGGGTGCCAGTAGGTTTGGGGGCGTGGGGGCCCCACTGAGCAAAAAGGGCACCATAGAGAGAGGAACAAACCTCAGCTTTTTTTTTTTTTTTTTTGGGGGGGGGGGGGGGGGGGGGGATGGCTTTTGGCTGCAAGGGTTTAGGGTTCCCAAAATCAGGGTACCCTGCACATTCGTTGTGGGCAGCTGGGGTGGGGGCCGGAGCCCTAGCATCCATGAATTTCTGGGTCCCTTGTGTTCCCATTATATACCCTTTCGCATGTTTGTCTCGAAAAGACCAAAACCGCCGCACCCTAAACCCTAAACCCTACACCCTAAACCCTAAACCCTAGACCTTAAACCCTCCAAACCCTAAACCCTACACACCCCAAACCCTTCAAACCCTCCAAACCCTAAACCCTAAACCCTAAACCCCAAACCCCAAACCCCAAACCCCAAACCCTAAACCCTAAACCCTTAACACCCTAAACCCCAAGAAGTCCCTGCTCCCGAGGATGCCAAGCTCTCCGTCACCCTAAACCCTTAACACCCTAAACCCAGTGGTTCGCTCTCCCCTGATTTTGGAGGTGCAGGTCCTCTGGCAGAAACAGGCCACCACAGGGCTTCCAGGGTCCATAGGGACTTTCGGGTTTAGGGTTTAGGGTTTGGGGTTTAGGGTTTAGGGTTTAGGGTGCCGGGGGGGTGAGGGGGGGGGGGGGGGGGCACGTTCTCTTAGGGGGAGTTTGAGGGTGTTCTTTGTATTGTTGAATAGGTGGCGCAAGGCGTAGGAGTTCAGACCTCCAGCATTCCGTAATTGGCATGTTTGTTCCGTATACGTCATGCAAGGAAAAATCCAGATTTACTTGTATAATCTTGTATGTATATACCTCGATAGGGTTAGGATAAGCTACATCTACGGTAACCCTACGTAACTATGTAGTATCACCAACCTCAAGTAGGCTTTGAAACTCAGGGTGCGGAGATTTCTAGGGTTTAGGCATTAAGGTTGCCGCTAAACCCGAAACGGCCCAAAAGCGCGAGCCCAAGTGCTTAAGAATTTCTTATGGCGTGCTCAAGAAACCAGCTCGGAAGATTGTACTTCTCAATGACAGGATGCCTGCATGGAGCTGGAGTGAACCACCCTTGTACCCTCTAAACCCTGAACTCTTGTAATCAGGATCTCAAAAGGGGCCCGTTTTGTCAGATGTGCCATGAAGCGCAAGTGCCAACGCTCTACACCAAGCCTGTTCCTTACAATGAACCCCTCATGTTTTGCCGCAGGCCTGCGCTAAACCCTTAACCCTTAACCCCAAAACCCTAACCCGAAACCCTAAACCCTAAACCCTGAAACCCTGAAACCCTGAACCCTAAAACCCTAAACCCTAAACCCGAAACCCTGATACCCTGAAACCCCCCAAATCGCAGGCCATCCTCACCGGCCCTTCAGACTACTGGACCTCAGTCATCAATACCGGACCGCAGCCAGGGGAGAGATGGGAGGGGGGTTTAGGGTTTAGGGTTTGGGTTTTGGGATTTAGGATTTAGGGGTTTAGGGGTTTGGGGGTTTAGGGTGTATCTCATGTAGGGTTTAGGGCATTCCCTACCAAGCCCTAAACCCTAAACCCGAATCATGACTCAGATGCACCGTCTGGTAAGTCAATGAACATGAACCAACCTACCAGGACCCAGAGTAGGGCCTTATTCCCCTGTTTTAGGGCTTACCTTCCCTTGCAAGCCCCTTGAAACCAAAAGGGCCCTCGTTATTCCTAGGTTGGTTACTCTTGGGTCTAGCCGAAAGAGCCGGGATTCTTGGTTGTAATAAATGGTATGACAACAGGCCGTCAGTTCGCTGCAACGATAACTGCCCGAATGAATATGATATCTGTCGGTCTTTTAGGAAGCTTTAAAGGGGCACAAAATGAGGGTCTTGTATATGGGGCCTTCCCCCCCTCCTCCCCCCTTCCCCCCCCTTCAAATGTTGATAAAGTTGGACCTGCTTTAGTGTGTCCCCCCCCTCCCTCCAAGAACAGTCGAAGCTGGTTTTCGCCTCGATTGAACTGCTCGGGGGTTTTATATGATTCAAATAGGGAGGAGTTTAGATGGGGATTTCCGAAAATAGGGGGGGGTACCCGTTTAGGGGGTCCCTTTCAGGGGACTCTATTCTTTTTGGGGCAGAACCAGGGGTGCCCTATCTTGGGAAACACCCAGAAAGGTTTAAAGGGGACAGCGACGCACGGCAATTGATTCTAGAGGTGCGCCGCGCGGAATTTCTTACGACACCCAGACAATTTCCAGGAGTTTGGACTTACGAGTTTTGGGCTGTACCCTTAGGCTGCACAAGAGCCTCTAAACAGAATTCAAGGTTACTTGGGCCGTTTTGTTGCTAGGGTTTAGAGTTGAGTGTTTAGGGTTTAGGGTTTAGGGTTTGGGGAAAGTCTAGGGTTGATAGCCTTACGTCTCCAAGGCGCCCCACACGAACTGGAGAACCACAGAGCCCGATAACCCTCATCTCCTCCCTTCCCCCCCCAAGGCCCCGAACCAGACCTAAATAGAACCGAAGGAGCCAAAGCACCCCTGAAACCCTAACAGGGTTTAGGGTTTAGGGTTTAGGGTTTAGGGTTTGGGGTTTAGGGTTTCTGTAACCCTTAGTTGCCCCATATACTCCTTTTAAGAAGCCTTGTATCCCCATGGAAACTCACACGTACGTCTAGAAGTTACAGCGCCGCAGCTCCTCCTCGCACCCTGCAAGCGCTCCCTGCCGCATGCTGACACACACGACGGCACACGCACACGATGCACTCTTCGGAGTTGTGTGTTTCCTTTGTGGTACTTTACTGTAACTTTAGATCCTTACCTTTTTTGGGTTTATTGGGTTTCTTATCAAGGCAGCTAAAAGGCTTAATTTATAGCTACCCTCCTGAGTGCAGCCAAGTTTCGCTGGTGTGAGAATTGCCCGCGAAGAAGACTCTGATTGTTCTCGTTCATCTCATCTGCACGCATAAGCGTCCGAGCGCTGTCTTAATCCATTTGTTTTTTCGGCTTCCGCGGTTTAGGGTCTTCACGGCCGGAAAGACCTTTCTCCACCTTAAACCTTCAACCCTAAACCCTCAGCACCCGGATAATTGGAAGTTGTCTGTGCTGTCATTCTAAATTTACAAAGATGTCTGTCGAAACAAGCTGGCACCACGCAAAGCCCCCAAACACAGTTCTAAAACCAGCTAAGTAAGCTGGATCTCAACACGTGCCCAATTTACATGAACTTGAACAAGGCTTCTGCGGCTGTAAGAGGCCAACCATTTCAAATCAAACAAGGCTTCAGCAGGCTTAAGAGGCCCCCTATGATTCACTGAGAACTTTCTCCTTTGTTGAACCCTTTGCAACTTCTGTAAGCCCTAAACCCTAAACCCTAAGCCCTAAACCGGCGGGTTGTGCGCCTGGCTCGACTTCACAGGCCCAAACTTTGACACCCGTGACCATAAAGTCGCACTCGCCTGTTTCGGACCCCTACCCGTCATGGGTTTAGGTTTAGGGTTTCGAGTTTAGGGTTTAGGGTTATGGCCCCGCAACCGAAAAACAACCCTAGACCCCCCAAAGACTACAAAACCGTCCCGGAGCGCCCCGAATCCCTGTAAACCTACTTTGACCCTAAACCCCAAACCCTAATCCCTAAACCCTAAACCCCTAAACCTTGTAGAAGCTAAGCCCCAAAGCTTGACATCAGTTGAGATGGCATTGGTTTACAGGACGGGAGTGCTCGCTGGAGGTGGCCTCCTTGCTTTAAAGGGTATGGTTTGGGGTTTAAAGTTTACGGTGTGGGGTTTAGGGTTCAGGGTTTAGGTTTGAGGGTTTAGGGGTTTAAGGTTCCTGTTTGGTACCTGTGTTGCGGGATATCAAGTTGTAGCTATTCTTTTGTCGCCTCACTTGCAACTACCCGTGAAGTTTCAAGTAGGGCTGTTTCATAGGTTTGTGTGCTTCTAAGGTTTTGGTTTTCGGAATTCGTGTTTCAAGTTCAGGTTTAGGGTCGGGGGTGGGGGGGGTTAGCGGTGCATTGGGATGTTGGCTATAGGGGTTTCGAATATTTGTGGGCACACAGGCAGGGTGCAGGCTTGAAGATTTTCGAGGTTTGCGGATCTGGGATGGGAGCTTTGGATTTAGGGGGAGATGGGATTTGAGAGCTCACAGCTTCCATTTCGGTTGAAGGCGTCGGGCATGTGGAGATTTTGTTGGGGGATCAGGCCGTGCTTCGAGGTTTTTACCCGGCGCCCCAAATATCTGCCTCAACGGCAGGCTCTTCGCTCCCGACATCCAACACACTCAAGTTGTACTTGGCTCAACCCTGAACCCCTCAACCCGAAACCCTAAACCCTTAAACTTAAACCGTGAACTCTACACCCCGCCCCTAAGCCCGTTAACCTTTTCCACGCTAAACCTCTAAACGCCCTTGAACCTCGCGCTTCATCCCGAAGACCTGAACCGATATCCTCAGCGGGGTGCCCCCTAAATATTCCCTGGTACTTAAGGTCTTAGGCATTGGTTCTCTCGGGGTACCCCAAAGGTTGTTTTTGTTGGGGGGGATGCGACAGTTAAATGTGCACGGACCCTAAGCCCTAAGGCCCTGAACCCCCGAACCTCCTAAACCCTAAGCCCTAATACTGCACCCCTAAACCCTAAACCCTAAACCCTAAACCCTAAACCCTAAATCGGAACCTCCTAGACTTCTTCCCCTCATCCTTTGATGCCTCGGCCTGGGCGACGGCAGGCGATCCGCAAAGCGCTGCCCGAGGGGGAGACCCTCGACTCTGCTTCGCAGGCCGCTTGGGGTTTAGGGTTTAGGGTTTAGGGTTTAGGGTTTAGGGTTTAGGGTTATGGATTAAGGGTTAGGGTTTAGGGTTCAGGGTTTCGGGTTCGCAGGTTTAGGCTCAGGGGTGTGTAATGCATGCCGGGCACACCAGCAAGGCGTGTGTTGTTGTGCGTGCCAATGTTCGCGTTCCTCCATTTGCGAGCTTGGTCGTGTTTAGGTTTTCATGTTTATTTATGTGTGTATATATACATATATGTATATACATATGGGGGTTTACGAAAATAGGGGACCCCTAAAATTGGACCAGCATTCCGTGATATCAAGGACCCCAGGAAGGTACCCCTAATCTCGGAAACCCCCCCATATGTATGTTGTTCGGACTACCAGCCTCATGAACAACACTTACCCCAAACCGGCTCCTCGAAGAAAAGAAAGGGACCTGGCCTCCCTTCCTTGCCACCCAAACCCTAAACCCCAAACCCAAACCCGAAACCCCAAAGCCTAAACCCCAAACCCTAAACCCTAAACCCTAAACCTTAAACCTTAAACCCTAAACCCTAAACCCTAAGCCCTAAGCCCTAAACCCTAAAGCCCTGTCCGGCCCTGGTCCTTGGCGCCTGGCTTCCGGGTCTCCAGGTCTCGGAGGGGCCCTCACTCACCTAGAAGCTGGCTTCAGAAAACGTGCAAAAACTCAACAAACAGGGTTTAGGGTTTAGGGTTTAGGGTTTAGGGTTTAGGGTTTAGGGTTTAGGGTTTAGGGTTTAGGGTTTAGGGTTGCCTTGCAGCGGACTCAGCCGAAAGATTGGCAGTGAATTCCTGGCGCCGTGCCGGTATTCCAAGCTTTCAGTCCTGGCAAGTGCAGGCAAGCGGTGGGCCACTGAGACACTGACGGCCGTGGAGGTCCTGTCTTTTGTTTTGCTGCATATGGCTGACAACCTGGAAGAGGGACAACGTCAGTGGGCAGGTCCGCCTTGACGGTGCGCCCTTGTACCACGTGTGAAGTCCTCTGGCTGCAAGGCTACGCAGGGTCGGTTATGTAGGGTGGTTGTCAAGTTGTCCCCTAAACCCTAAACCCTAAACCCTAAACCCTAAACCTCTCTTTCATATATAATTTAAATGTTAAGGAGTTACTGGGCAAGGTCATTCTTTTACTGGGCAAGGTCATTTTTTTACTGGGCAAGGTCATTTTTTTACTGGGCAAGGTCATTTTTTTACTGGGCAAGGTCGTTTCGTCAAAAAAACGACCTTGCCCAGTAAAAAAAATGACCTTGCCCAGTAAAAAAATGACCTTGCCCAGTAAAAATGTTACTGGGCAAGGTCATCTTTTTACTGGGCAAGGTCATCTTTTTACTGGGCAAGGTCATCTTTTTACTGGGCAAGGTCATCTTTTTACTGGGCAAGGTCATTGTTTTACTGGGCAAGGTCATTTTTTTACTGGGCAAGGTCATTTTTTTACTGGGCAAGGTCATTTTTTTCACTGGGCAAGGTCATTTTTTTACTGGGCAAGGTCATTTTTTTACTGGGCAAGGTCATTTTTTTACTGGGCAAGGTCATTTTTTTACTGGGCAAGGTCATTTTTTTACTGGGCAAGGTCATTTTTTTACTGGGCAAGGGCATTTTTTTACTGGGCAAGGTCATTTTTTTACTGGGCAAGGTCATTTTCTTACTGGGCAAGGTCATTACTGGGCAAGGTCATTTTTTTACTGGGCAAGGTCATTTTTTACTGGGCAAGGTCATTTTTTTACTGGGCAAGGTCATTTTTTACTGGGCAAGGTCATTTTTTACTGGGCAAGGTCATTTTTTTACTGGGCAAGGTCATTTTTTTACTGGGCAAGGTCATTTTTTTACTGGGCAAGGTCATTTTTTTACTGGGCAAGGTCATTTTTTTACTGGGCAAGGTCATTTTTTTACTGGCAAGGTCATTTTTTACTGGGCTAGGTCATTTTTTTTACTGGGCTAGGTCATTTTTTACTGGGCAAGGTCGTTTCGTCCAAAGGTGTTTAGGATTTCCGGGCCTAATGGTTAGGGTTTCAAGGCCTCACGGCCTGGTGTTTAGGGTTTCAGGGCCTCAAGGCCTGCAGTTTAGGGTTTCACGGCCTCATGGCCTAATATTTAGGTTTCAGGGTTTCAGGGCCTCAAGGCCTAGTGTTTAGGGTTTCAGGGCCTCAAGGCCTGGTGTTTAGGGTTTCAAGGCCTCAAGGCCGGGTGTGGCTTGTGTTAATATTAAGCGCTTGGTACTACGGCGTGATTGGTGCATCCGAAGAGAAAATAAGTAACCTTCTATTTTCTTAATGTTATGGGATTCTTTGGGCGGGTGGGTTTTTTCCGTTGCCTAGATACACTGCTGGCCTAGTAAATGCTCGAACTTGAGATGCTGAACCCTAAACCCTAAACCCTAAACCCTAAACCCTAAACCCTAAACCCTAAACCCTAAACCCTAAACCCTAAACCCTAAACCCTAAACCCTAAACCCTAAACCCTTGCAGGCTGGGCCTGGAGCCTGTGCTGGTTCATAAACCCCCTTTCGCACCCTCAGAAAGCGTGCTTTAAATTGCTGGGCACGCCCAAAAAAACCCTTATGGATCTTAGCACTTGCGCAAATTTCATTCTGCTGAGATGAAGCTGTTGCAGCTTCCAGAAGAGTAAGTCCCGGCGGTGGGCCCAGACGCAGCCTTCAGGCCAACCACGTCTTCTGAGCCCCTGAAAGCGAGCAGGCTAGGGTTTAGGGTTTAGGGTTTTAGGGTTTAGGGTTTAGGGTTTAGGGTTTAGGGTTTAGGGTTTAGGGTTTAGGGTTTAGGGTTTAGGGTTTAGGGTTTAGGGTTTAGGGTTTAGGGTTCAGAGGAACAACATCCTCTGACCGCTGACCAACATTTTTTTCAAGAGGTTTCCTTGGCAAAAAGAACTTTTTATGAAGGCTGCTTCGAAGGATTGCAATCCTTAAGTCGCGACTCCGAAATGCCCCAGCTTTAGAAGGGTTTAGGGTTTAAGGTTTAGGGTTTAGGGAAACCCCCCAAAGCCCTAAAAGGTCCTGTCCCAAGCCACATTTTGAGCTCGAAAAGAGAACCTCCCTAAGTTCGATACCTTGCGCCCTAAAACCCCTAAACCCCGCAGGTGGTGGTAGCCATCATGCACGTGGGGGACGTCCTAGCTCTGGCTGGAGGTTCATGGGGGATTTGGGGGGGCGGGTAAGGGGGGGAGGTTGGGACTTAGGGTTCTAGGCTTCTAGCGTTCTAGGGTTCAGGGTTTAGGGCTTATTGTCATCGGGTTCACGGTTCATGGCTTAAGCTGCGTAGGGTTTTGAAGCAGCCCGGGTTTTTCCTGAATGATCGTTGTGGGTTTTTTTGGGACGTCTCTTTTGAATCCTCGGCGTGCTGGGATTTCCATCGACTTATGTGAGATGCGCGGCACACTTGGGGGTTTTCCGAAAAAATAGGGGACCCTTAATGTAGATCCCCAAATTAGGCTTTCCGAAAATGGTCCCTTTAAGTGGATTCTATTCTATTTGGGGCATAAAAGGGGTACCCCTATTTTGGGAAACACCCAAATAATTAGGAGGATCCCCTTATGATAAGGACCGCACAAAGGTACCCCCTGAAGAGTTGCGTGTTCTTTGCCTACATGGCAGTGGGTCCCAGACCTAAAGCACAAGCGCCGCCTTAGGTTTAAGAGCTCGGGTTTAGGGTTTAGGGTTTAGGGTTTAGGGTTTAGGGTTTAGGGATTTCGGGGTAAGACGCAAGCGCATGTGTCCATGGCGGTTGCTTGCTTTGCCTTCACTTCCTGGGTTTTTTTGGACCCGTCGTTCCCTTTCTATCCTTTTCCTCTCCCTCTCCCCACTCCTAGTGTAGAGAGTTGTGTAACCCCTAAGCCCCACACCCTAAACCCTAAACCCTAAACCCTAAACCCTATACCCTAAACCCCCCACCAAAGTTGCAGGCTGGGGTGTTCTGTGCAGGGTTCCTGTTAGCCTCAAGCCTGTCGTGCACGAAGCAGTCGTGTGGCCCTGTCGCGCTTTTGCACTGAACTTGCTTCACCCCGAGGCCCGGGACCAGGTCTAAATCACGTAAGACCTACTCTCGATCAGTGTTAGGGATCCTTTTTACTTTTTTGGGTTATGGGCTTTCTTATATATGAACAAAAAGGATCCTTTTTCTTCCTAGGGGAACAGGGATTAAGTACTTGGGTCACAAGACACCTACACCGTAACCCTGATCAGGTAAAAACCATTCCCTAACTCCTCAACCACACGCACTTAGGGTTTGGGGTGCACGGTGTAGGGCTCAAGGATACGTAAACTCCAAACCCCATACCCTGAACCCTGAGGTTTATGGGAGTAAAAGCAGGGTCAGTTGTACCTGAAGGCAGGTGATAGCTGCATGTTCCCTACCTATTACTGCCCATGAACGTTGGGGCAGGCGAAAGCCGGAACTTGCTTCTTCCAACCAGGCAAGCGAGAAGCGGTTCTCTGCTGCGGTCCACACCACAGGAGCGGATCTTTGTGGTACTTTGCTGTAACTTTAGATCCTTACCTTTTTTGGGTTTATTGGGTTTCTTATTAAGGCAGCTAAAAGTTTAATTTATAGCTACCCTCCTGAGTGCAGCCAAGGGATTAGGGTTGTTGGGGCGCAGGGTCGGCACGGACAGTCTGCAAAAGGAACCTGTCACAAGTTTCGGTTGATGGTTGAGGCAGGGTTCAGGACTGTCTCAAACCATGCTGCCCTTGTGGATTAACGAGGCTTATACGGGAACCTAAGCCCCACAAAAAGGGTAATGAGGGCCTGCTCTGGGTCCTAGTCAACCCGTTATATTGCTAGGTTTCTTTTGAGTCTCGTTGAACACTCATGGGTAGTCGTGCATGAAACATCTTTTGCCACGCAACAAATCTCGGCCGGGTTCACCAATCTGCCCTTGCATGTCTCCAAACCCTTGCATTTCGCGAGGCTGTGAGCCCGGTTGCAAATGACCGCAGCGAGATTACTGCTATTTGCTTAAGAACCCCCAAAAATTAGCAGATGATAATCCCTATATTGCCCTTACAAGGGGGTTCTTCAGCAAATAGTAGATTAGCCTTGAGTTACATTAAAGGCCGCATTATCCTCGGAGCTGCATGGTTTGCAAAATTGTTGAAGAAATTCAGAGTGGTGGGGGGGTGCACGCCTCGGTTTAGGGTATAGGGTTTAGGGTTTAGGATTTAGGCTTGAGGGTTTAAGGTGATATTTTTTTTTTTTCATTTGGTTTGGGGGTTGGTTTTGGGGGGGCTGGGGTACCCATTTCAGGCTGGTGGACAACTAGGTGGTGGGTAGCTGAGATGCTTGGCACGACTCCTCAGGCCTCGGTGCGTTATGTTATACGATCAGTCCTTGATCGGGATTCATAATCGGGGGCGCGATGGTCCCTATTAAGGACTGTTAGTATAAGGGGGAACGCCCCAAAGTTTTTTTGTATCTTCAAGTACTGTCAGTTCAGTCCTTATGCAACTTTAGGCCCACAATCTTGGACTTAGAGTAGGACGAGCGAAGGGAGGATTTAGGGTTTGGCCTGACTTTGGTGAAGGGCCGTAGGACTTGGGTACGTTTCAGAGCTCGGAGAGTGCAGAGTTTCGCATCTAGAGTGTATGTAGGTCTTAGCCGACGTTTCTGGCTTGACTTATTCCAGGGCCTCAGAAGCCCCACCGCCCCCTGGTGCAGTGTTTATAGCAGCGCAGCTTTGCAAAGTCTGCAGTTCTACAATTGTTTTGCTTTCCTAAACCCAACCAAACCTAAAGGCCCTAAACCCTGAACCCGCCCTACACCCGACAGGCCCAAAACCCTAAACCCTAAAGGCCCTACGCCCTAAACCCTAAAGGCCCGAAACCCTAAACCCTAAAGGCCCTATGCCCTAAACCCTAAACCCTATAGGCCCTCCGCCCTAAACCCTGAACCCTAAACCCTAAACCCTAAACCCTAAACCCTAAACCCTAAACCCTAAACCCTAAACCCTAAACCCTCAAGGCCCTAAACCTGAAGAGGAATCTCCACCACCTGGCGGCGGAACACTTCGAACAAATGGGGCTCCAGGCTGTCAAATGCGCGTGGTTGAGGGTTTAGAGATTTAGGGTTTAGGGGTTTAGGGTTTAGGGACAAGGGTTTAGGGTTTAGGGTTTAGGGTTTAGGGTTTAGGGTTTAGGGTTTAGGGTTTAGGGTTTAGGGCTTAGGCCCCTGGGATACCTCACATTTTCCCTTACTGGGTTTTAGAGGATCCTATGCAGGAACCCAACCAAGCATTGTCAGATCTTGCGTTTACAGCTGGCACAGAGCGCGTCGACATCGAATCGCGGCAGTGTCTTGCCCAACTCACATTCTGGATCATTCTGGTGACATGTGGAGTCACAGCACTGCAGGTTGTAGCTGCCGAGGGCCACTGCCAATTCACGGCAGTTGGCCAGCACTACAACCTGCAGGCGCGGGAGATGCGGCGTGCGTGCTGCAACCACTTGGTTGCACACACCGCCGTGCCCCAGGAGATGTTTGCCAGCTCCAAGCAGCACCCGGGATGGTTCTGGGCTTTCTTACACCTGAAACACCTCGACCCTGAACTCATAGTTGGGCTTAGGGTTTATGTCTAAGGGTAGTTTCATGGGCCCTTGATATGGTCCCCTACCTCCTTTGAAGGGTTCTGATGTAAGGGCCCTTAATTTGTACAGGGTATGTAAGGGGTATATAAGGTGTGCCCTTTGCAGGTCCCATGCTAAGGGACCATGTAACTACCCCAAGAATCCCTAAACCCCCTAACCCTAAGCCCTAAACCCTACACCCTAAGTTTATGGCTCCCCCCTAAACCCTAAACCCTAAACCCTAAACCCTAAACCCTTAACCCACTTCTGGAGCTGAGTCTGAGGATTCCGGGTTTAGATTCGTGCAGCGCTGGGTCACAGAGAAGCAACGTGACGGTCTTGAGTCCCAAAACCAAGGGTTTAGGCCGGTTTAGGGTTTAGAGTTTAGGGTCTAGGGTCTAGGGTCTTAGGGCCCTAAACCCTACACCCTTTTTGAATTTTGCAGAGGGTTTCAAGGGCAATCCTAGAACTTCACCCTAAACCCTTGCTTGTTTGCTGATTTAGGGTTTGGGGTTTAGCGTTCCCAGGTCTGTGGGCTTGCAAAGGCTAGCTGAGCTTGTGCAAAGCGACAACTCTGAGTTGAGACTTTGAGGGTTTGGCTTTTAGGGTTTAGGGTTTAGGGTTGAGGGTTTAGGGTTTAGGGAAATCACATCGTTGTAGAAGACCCTAAGCCCGAAACCCTAACACCAAGCCCCTCCTTGTTCAAAATTCCTAAGGGGGTGAAACCCTACACCAAGACAAAAAGAACGCGAGGATGGGCAAAGGAGTCCTAGCCTCCTAGGATCGAGTATGTTGGTGCATGTATAGATATAAGTTAGAAGTGCACTACAGGGGCCCGAATTATTGTGGTATCCTACTTCAGAACCCTGCTTAACGACTACATTACTTCCCCCGATCCTCCTTCCAAGTCTTGTTTACCCCCGCAGAATGAGGCCTTCCTGGCATCCTTATCGTTTTGGGGGGGACAAGGCTTCAGAAGTGGGGAAGTACCATTACGGACATGAGGAAAACGCCTAACCCCTAAACCCTAAACCCTTAATCCTAAACCCTAAACCCTAACCCGAAACCCTAAACAAGCTCTGACTCACGAGACCAGTTCCAGGTGCCAAAGATCGAATGCACCGACATGCCGTGGGGCCTGGAGTTTAGGGTTTAGGGTTTAAGGTTTAGGGTTTAGGGTTTAGGTAAGTCCTAATGTTGGGCCCTCGCTGCGCCCTTCTTTAGCGTGCCCCCCCCCCCCCCCACCCCCTGCCCTGAACAGTCGAAGCTGATGTTGTCCCTCTTTACACGCTCTTAAACAGAATGCGAGAGACGTTTGTGCTATCTACAAGAAAGAACAAAGTGAAAGCAACACGGGCCCGAAACGGGCTGCGAGCAAAAGGATGCGTGAATCTGAAGGGACACACGAAATATTCTTATGACATCGTGAAGACTTGACTTCGTAGCAGATTTCACCGAGCACCCCCAAACCGCTTGACTGTTTGTAGAGGAAGCCTCTGCTAAACAGAGTCCAGCAGGAAAACCCTTAACCCGTCGGGTTTAGGGTTGAAGGGTCGGGGTCTTGATATGTTTGGATTTGAAAGCTGCTTATGCTCTAAACCCTAAAACAATCCACTTGAAACTGTAGAGGGGACATTACGATCTTAGCTCAAGGGTTTTGGGGGTTACACCTGCAAACCTCAATCTCAAACCCCAAACCCTACGGTCAGCCTTCTCGTCCTTAGGTTGCTTGGGAACTCAGGGGTTAGGGCTTCAGACCATGGAGCACGGTTCCTCAAGGGTTTAAGGTTTAGGGTTTAGGGTCGCTTGAAGTTAAGTTTGGGGGTTGAGGCCGTTGCTTTGGGAAGCTACCGCCGGGAGTACACCCTCACCCTTAAAACAGAACAGAACAGAGCCCTAGACCTTAAACCCTGAACCCTAGTAGCCCTAAACCCGAAACCCCAAACCTTAAACCCTAAACCCTGAACCCTAAACCCTAAACCCTAAACCTTGTGCTCCAAAAGGTCTCAACCTCACACCTTGGGATGCTCCGCCTTACACGAACAGTCCTTAATAGGGATTATAATGGGGGGGGGGGGGGGGGGGGGGGGGGGGGGGGAGGGGTGCTGCAAAACCCTAAACCCTAAACCCTAAACCCTAAACCCTAAACCCTAAACCCTAAACCCTAAACCCTAAACCCTAAACCCTAAACCCTAAACCCTGGCTAGTAGAAGGGGGAACATCCCAACTCTCAGACCGCACGGGCCCTGGAAACTGGAAATCCCACAAAGTTGATGAACCTTATAAAGTCCGAAGCCTGGCCCTTCCGTAGACTGTAGAAGCCCTAAACCCTAAACCCTAAACCCTAAACTCCCTAAACCCTAAACTCCCTAAACCCTAAACCCTAAACCCCAGAACTTCCGAAACCCTAACTCCTAGCCAAGCCAGGTCGCCCACCTGGCTGTTAGGTTTTGGGGTTTTGGTTTCTGTCCAGTGCTTGTGGCGAAGGTCTGAGTTGGGATTCAACCCCCACAAGCCCTAAAAGCCCCAAAAGCCCTAGAAGCCCAAAAGCCCCCAAACCTAAGCCATAACTTTGTCATAGTTGGGTACCATTTTACATGTTACAGGGTACTTAAACCCAATAAGGAATATATATATATATATATCTATTTATTTATTTATTTATTTATATTTATTTATTTATATTTATATTTTGTATTTTTTGTATATTCGAATGTTTAATATTATCCTTTAAAACGCCCTGAGCCACAAAGTTGCGAACCAAGGCCCATGCTGCGTCTGCAGAGCCCGGGTGATGGCTTGGAGGTCCCATGGGTTTCAGGGCTTCTAGGGCGTTAGGGGTGTTAGGGTTTCAGGGGTTTTAGGGTTTTAGGATTGTAGGGTTGTAGGGTTGTAGGGTTGTAGGGGTTTAGGGTTTTGGGTTTCAGGGTGAAGGGTTTGAAGATGTAGGGTTGAGGTGTTTTTTTGGACTCAAGACCCAACGGGAACCCTCGTTCTTCCCTCTTGCTTTACAAAAAGTAAGACTCAGAACAAAAAGATGGGGTTCATCCCTCAGAATAACATGGGTATCCCTAAGTAAGGGTGCTCCTAATGCCTACCCCCCCCCCCCCCCCCCGCAAGTAAGGGTTCCCTATTGCTCCTTGAAACAACACAGACTGAACCTTTTGTTCGAGGCTTGGATCTCAAGAACCCATATAAATATGAATGTTAAAAAGCCTTAAAAGTCTTTTCTACATAGTAGAATCGCTTTTTTATTGTGAAATATAACTATAAACATGATATTGCTAAAAGGATTATCGGTTTTGAATAAAAGCATTTAGATCATTTGTAGAAACATTATTTTGCAAAAGCTGCGGATTGTCACTAATTTGTCGCCGGGGGCTTTTAGGACGTCGAGTTTTGGTAATACTTTTATTGCATTTTATTGTTTTTTATTATATGTGTTGGGTTTTATATTTTTTAGAGTATGAATGGCTAACAAAAGCTTGATGATTAACTATAATAAGTTTTTTAATAATATTAAATAATATAATTTTACAATTTGGGGTTGGGGTTGGGGTGACAAATCTACTTTTTATAAAAAATTGTATTTGGTTATCTTATAAAACTTTAATTTTAACAAATAACTTCTTAAAAGTAAACAACTTAGTTCAATAAATATATATTATTTTAAATTAACTAAAAATAATTCTTAACAAATGTTTAGAAATCTTAAATATTATTAATAAGACATTTTGTTAATTAAATTTTAAATTCGTTTAAGAACCCAGTTTGTCCACACCATCCTATATAATAATTAAAACAATACAAAAATATTATATTACACAAACACAATTAACTGTTATTATAATAACTTAAGAACAATATAGATTTTAAATATAAAACCGCAAACAGTTTATTTAACCTATAACAGGGTTTATGGGATGATTAACCCTAAACCCGAAACCCGAAACCCCAAACCCCAAACCCCAAACCCTAACCCCATGGCCCTGCGCAGACCACTGGGAGATCTAGGTTTAGGGTTTGGGGATGCGGGCTTCAACGCAGAGGGTCGTTGGGGAATCAGAGGGTCTGACGGGTTTAGGGTTTGAGTTATGTATAAGTTGCATGTGCCCTGAAGGGACCCCGATGTGGTTGTTTTTTGCTACTTCACGAGAATACTTACTAGGTTCCCGATCCTCCAGGTACAGTACTGAGTACTAGTACACTTTAGAGGTTGTCCGAAGCCCCCTCCCCCCCTTCCCCCAATAAACTACACAGGGGGGAACCAAAAAAAACACCGAAGCCGTCACATAAACCACCATAAGCCCTGTAGACTCTAAGCTTTACTAAAGCGCTAAACCCCCGCCCCGAAAAGACAACAAAACGTCAGAGCCGAAAACTTCAGTCTTCAGGGTCCTCCAGCCTTCTAGGAGGCTTAAACTCCCCTCCTGGGCTTCATCATAGGGCCTGTAGGGGGATGAGTGGACCTGCGTTCTCGTCGGAGTCTTGGGGCTTCGTAGGATTCAGAAGGGTTCTTGGGGCTCATAGGGTCCCCTTATAGGATTTCTTGGGCCCTGAACCCTAAACCCTAAACCCTAAACCCTAAACCCTAAACCCTAAACCCTAAACCCTAAACCCTAAACCCTAAACCCTAAACCCTAAACCCTAGACCCAACCTCCGAACTCTGCCAGGCTGATACCCAGATCCTGGTAACTGACAAGGCCGGGCTTGCACCATAGCGTCCCCTATATTCTTTGTGGTGCTTTACTGTAACTTTACATCTTTAGCTTGTTTGGGTTTATTGGGTTTCCTAACAAGGCAGCTAACAATTTAATTTCTAGCTGCCCTTCTGAGTGCAGCCAAGCTATATTCAGGCCACGCATCCAGATACTTACTCTTGGTTAGTAGTGAATGAGGCCCTATGTCCCCCTATATATGATTCAGCCCCGGCGGGCCCCCCCCCCCCCCTACCCCACTCCCCCCACCCCCCCCCTACCCCCCCCCCCCCCCCGCACCCCCCCCCCCACCCCCTACACCCCCCCCCCCCCCCCCCCCCCCCCCCCCCCCCCCCCCCCCCCCCCCCACCCCCTCCCCCCCCACCCCCCCCCCCCCCCCCCCCCCCTTACCCCCCCCCCCCTGGTATCCCCCCCCCCCCCCTGTGGTTGGGGGGGTTTAGGTTTTAGGGTTTTAGTTTGGTTTAGGGTTTAGGTTAGGTTTAGGGTTTTAGGGTTTTAGGGTTTAGGGTTTAGGGTTGGGTAGGGTTTTAGGGTTTTAGGGTTTAGGGTTAGGGTTTTTTTAGGGTTTTAGGGTTTGGGGTTTAGGGATTAGGGTTTTAGGGGGTTTAGGGTTTAGGGTTTAGGGTTTTCCCCGCGGATGGGGTACTAAGTGATACCCCCCCCCCTGTGGTGTGGTTGGGGGTTGGTTTTAGGGTTAGGGTTTAGGGTTCAGGGTTTTAGGTTAGGGTTTAAGGTTTCTTTAGGTTTAGGGTTTAGGTTTTGGGTTTTAGGGTTTAAGGTTTAAGACTTAAGGTTTAGGGTTTAGGGTTAGGGTTTAGGTTTTAGGGTTTAGGGTTTAGAGGGTTTAGGGTTTAGGGGTTTAGGTTTAGGGTTTAGGTTTAGGGTTTACGGACCGTAGAGTCGGCTGGGGGGGGGGGGGGGGGGGATACCAGGGGGGGGGGTGGGGGGGGGAGGGGGGGGGGGAGGGGGGGGGGGCCCAGGACGCTCGACGCTGAACCATATATATATATATACCCTTTAAGGGATTATGTAGGGTACCTCATTCCCTCATGCCCTACTCACCACCAGTAAGGATAGGCCCCTAAACCTCAAAAGGAACCCAGGGGGAGGGAGGGGGTGAGAGCCCCCCATATTCCCCAACTGAGGGCTTACTGCGGCATGTAATGACCCCAAGTAAGCCTTAGCCAGGATTTAGAGTTTAGGGTTTAGGGTTTAGGGTAAATAAGCCTCAACCAGCCCTAGTAAGGGAGTATGGACCCCTTACACCTCCCTCTCACCGTGGTTCCTTCTGAAACGGGCTTACAATTGCGGTGGCTGGCTCGCGCAGACTCAAGGTTCTCGGGTTCTTCTGAGATGGTCAGAGCTTCGTGATTCGCCGGCGGCAGCAGCGGCCTGTTGCAAATTGCGGCTTTGGTGCTTGCGGCTCCTGGCCTGCTTCCGGTCCTTCTCAAAGAGGCTTTAGGGTTTGGGGTTTAGTGTTTAGGGATGTCCGGGCCGGGTTGGAAGCAGATGTTCGTTGTTCAGAGCATCGAACCCAGAGGGAAAGAATGAAGACTCCGCAGCGTCAGAGGCAGCAAACAGATGCTGCAAGGGTAGCAGCAGATGGGGACGGAAGACAGCCCGGTTTAGGGCTTAGGGAGGGTAGAGCCCCATGTTCGAAAGAAGCCCTCTCGAGCACGTGTGCCAAAGCTTGAGTTGATTCATGACCGAAAGGATCACAAGTGCACGAACTGCATTGAGCTCGCGTTCCGTGACTTGAATGTGTTTTTGAAGTCGGTGAAAGAGCAGAATCAGAATATATAGAGTACTCTTCTTAGTACTCTTCTTCGGGAGTTGTTTGACGTTGCGTAGCTAGTCTGAGTCTTATTCACAATTCTTGCGTATATGTGTATATATATATGCACCGCAACTCCATTAGACTTTGTTGTTCTGGTTATCCGCTATGACGTGCAGAGTCCAAGGAACGGTCTAAGAGCATCCGCTGACGGACTCCAAGTCCGCATCAGCCCCCCAAACCCCAAACCCCAGACCCCAAACCCTAAACCCTAAACCCTAAACCCTATAAACCCTAAACCCTAAACCCTAAACCTTTCAAGGCTAAGGGTTCAGGGTTTAGAGGTTCGGGGGCCCCAAAGCCCAGACGCTAAAACGGGCTTCATTACCTCGACATGGAAGGAGAGGGGGTGTGCGGGTCAGGTCGGATGTTCCGAGAGCAAGCGTACCCTTGTTGGGGGCTCTTGTAACAAAGGCTGTAGTATTTGGGGGAAAGATTAGGGGGACCCTATCTTGAGAAATCCCCTTTTGGGGGTTACCCCCCCCCCCCCCCACAAAATCTCTGCCAGGAGATGGATGTCAACAGAAAGGTCAAGAAGGCAGGGACTCCTGGATCCCCAGTGGGGTTTAGGGTTTAGGGTTTAGGGTTTAGGGTTCAGGGTTTAGGGTTTAGGGTTTAGGGGTGGGGTTTGGGGTTTGGGGTTTGGGTTTGGGGTTTGGGGTTTACCTTCTTGGTCGTTCTGCTCCATCACGAACCCGGAAACCCAAACCTAAAACCATGAAACCTGAAAGCTCAGGAAACCTTCCGAAGCCTTCAAACCCCTGAACCCTGAAGCCCTGAACTCTGAAACCCTAAGCCCTAAAACACCCTTCATCCACAAACACCTGAAACCCCCAAAGCAGGTCCTGCGGGTTGCGATTTTGGGTCTTGGGTCTAGGGTTGAAGAAGATTGTCACTTGTTTACGTCGCTCCATCAATGCAGGAGTACGGCTCCCTCAATCCCGCAGCTTGCGCTTTGTCCCCCCGCCCCCGCCCCCGCCCCCACGCCATCCCCTCCCACAGTTTCAGGTGAAGTTTGTCCGAAATTGGGTCCTTTTGGGTGCTGCGCATAGGTCCCCCAAGGGCATAGGTCCCTTACATACTGTAATTGATTGCCCTCCCAAACAGTAGGCCCCAACGACCGTTGAATACGCCCTATCTGGACACTCGGTTGGGGGCAGTTCACCCTGAACTTAACCCTGAATTTGTATTGTTTCGGGTTTAGGGCTTGGGGTTTAGGGTTTTGAGGTTTAGTTTGAGCTCTCACCCTAAACCCTAAACCCTAAACCCTAAACCCTAAACCCTAAATCAAACTGACCTGGTTCCATGTTGACATCAGGCCTTCTGTGAGCCTGGGAATGTGGAGTTCAATCCCCCCGTGGCCTGGGTCGAGGCACCATTTTGGGGGTTTCAGGGTTTTGGGGGGTTTGGGGAGCGTTCCGTGTTTGCAAAGGTTTGGGTTGTAGATCATGTCTTGGGCTAGGGCCGGGTTTAGGGTTCAGGGTTCAGGGTTCAGGGTTCAGGGTTTAGGGTTTAGGGCCTAAGTTTCCTTATTTAGCCCTTGCTTATCACAAAAGTAAGAGGGTGAACGCTGAACATCCAAGCCCTAAACCGTAAACCCTTGACCCTCAACCCTAAACCCCAAACCCTCAAACCCTAAACCCTGCTCACCAAAATTAAGTGAAGAGCAGACGCTTCTCGAGGCCTTGCTGCCGACGCTGCCAGAGAAGCAGTTCGTCGCCCGGCTCCCAGCACCAAGGCTCGTTGGGCAGGGTTTAGGGTTTAGGGTTTAGGGTTTAGGGTTTAGGGTTTAGGGTTTAGGGTTTAGGGTTTAGGGTTTAGGGTTTAGGGTTTAGGGTTTAGGGTTTAGGGTTTAGGGTTTAGGGTTTAGGGTTTAGGGTTTAGGGTTTAGGGTTTAGGGTTTAGGGTTTAGGGTTTACGATTTCGGGTTTAGGGTTTAGGGTTGATAGGTTCCGGGATTTGTGAAGTAATCTGGCCTCAGGGTTCGGTCTCTTTGCGAAGTCGTGCCATCTCTTTTGATGTTTTTGCTCTCAAACCCTTGTGTGTATACCTAAATGCTCCGCGAGGGCCCTTAACCCTTGCTTCGCTGAAGGACTCAAGGCCCTTTAAGTGAAACCCCATTCCATCTCTTTCAGTACCCCTAACTCCTGAACTATAAACCCTAACCCTGAACCCTCAACCCTGAACCAAAACTGCTAAGGGGACCTCCGCGGATCCCAAGCATACCATATGGAAATCCACGGAACGAGCATATCGGCTCGGACTTGTTTCCATTCTCTGCATACCAGACTGTGGACTGGCCGATCAGTAGCGGCTTCCTCTACTCCCTGAAGATCATCGAGTCAAGCCGACAAAGCATGCGGGCTTGCGCTGGGTTAGGGCTTAGGAAATAGCGTTGGGGTGTAGGGTTTTGGGGCCATGAGGTTTTCGGGTGAGGGTTTAGGGTTCAGGGTTGAGGGGGTAAGGTGTGCGGTGCTGCGAAGCCAGTTGGAACTCGTTATAGGGTTTAGAGTTTAACTACATAAACCCTAAGCCCTAAACTCTAAACCCCTAAACCCGAAGTAAACCTGTACCCTAAGCCCCAAACCCTGAACCCTAACACTAATCCCCAAACCCTAAAAGTAACCGCAAGCCCTAAACCCTAAACCCCTGTGGCCTTGGGCGCACAGTCGGGGTCGCCCAGGTCAAGCGAAAAGAAGCGAACGGGGGCGACCTCGCCTACGAAGAGATCGCGGTGCTCACGGAGGAGTGATGTAGACTGGACTTTCGGAGTTTAGGGTTTAGGGTTTGGGGTTTAGGGTTTGGGGTTTAGGGCCCTAAACGCCCACCCTAAACCCCTAAAACCCGGAAAAAAAAACAGACTAAGGCCTTAGGCTTTCGGGTTAGGCATCAGACCCGGGTTAGGGCTTCAGGCGACACACTTTACCCGACATCAAACCATCGGCTGTGTAGAGGCCCCGAAAAAGCATCAGCCCTCTAAAGCCCAAACCCGAAACCCCAATCTGGAATTTAGGGTTGAAACAGCCCTAAGCGCTTTAAAAGAAACAAGCGCAACCCAAACAGAAACGAAAACACCCCAAAATACAAACTACACAAACCTAAAAAATAAACAGGACTTTGCCAGCGAAGCGCTGCACCCTGGCGACTTGAAGCCATCGTTGGGAAAGGCGCTGAACAGCGTCGCCTGGCCGAAACACACACACACACACACACACACAAACATGGGGTTTAGGGTTTATAGGGTTTAGGGTTTAGGGTTTAGGGTTTAGGGTTTAGGGTTTAGGGTTTAGGGTTTAGGGTTTAGGGTTTAGGGTTTTGGGCTCAGAGTTTAGGTTGGGGTCTTCCCCCTTATGCTATCAGTCCATAATCGGGATTCTAGTCCCCCCCTACAATCCCCATCAGGGACTGTTAGTATGGGGGGGGACATCCCAGGGAATAGGGTTGAGGGTTGAGGGTCGTGGGTTTGATTGCTTGAGTGGGCCGGGCCCTGCGTGTTCACGCACTCAGGCGCACAAAGGAGGGAGGCCGGTGGTTGAAAACGCTGAAATCGCAACGCGTGACAACACACAAAGCAGACAGTGGACATGTTGACAATGTCTCGAGAACCTCACGCAGGCCAAAATATTTTCAGCATGCACCGTGAGTAAGCAGGAACAGTGGCAGGGGACAAGACGCTGTTTTGACCCCGAAAAAACCATCCCCGCACCTGAGCCCGCTCTGAAACCTCAACCCTAAACCCTAAACCCTAAACCCTAAACCCTAAACCCTAAACCCTAAACCCTAAACCCTGAACCCTAAACCCTAAACCCTAAACCCTAAAACCTGAACCCTAAGTCCTACAACCCTCAAGCCACAAGCGTCCTGAGCCCAGGCTCAAAAAAATAAAGGCTCGTACCCCCTAAGGTTGCTTTGTGGTACTTTACTGTAACTTTAGATCCTTACCTTTTTTGGGTTTATTGGGTTTAGGGTTTAGGGTTTAGGGTTTAGGGCTACCCTCCTGAGTGCAGCCAAGGTTGTACCCCAAAAAACTTCCCTTAATCTGGCCCTTCTACGACCTCAAGGATCTTTTAAAAAAGGGTCCCCAAAAACCCAAGGGCACAACCTTAAGGGTCCAACTCTAAACCCTAAACGCAAAACCCTAAACCCTAAACCCTAAACCCTAAACCCTAAACCCTAAACCCGGTCCAAGGTAGAACACCTAGAACAGTTGCTTTAGGACCTAAGCCCAAACCCTTATAGGCAATGGCAGACATCCGAGCTGGCATCAAGGCTTCTGGAGATCTGAAGAAGGCGCGGCACACGAGCCTCCCACACCGTCAGTTTGTAGGGAGTCATGGTTCACTAGGGTTTAGGGTTTAGGGTTTAGGGTTTAGGGTTCGGGGTTTGGGGTTTGGGGTTTAGGGTACCCCTTTGTTTCCATGTACTCGAAGGCTCATGAGTAGCGTGAAAGCCATAGTTGCCTACTTCTGTGCTTACCAAGGCATTGAAGCCGCTAGATTTAGGTTTTAGGGTTTAGGGTTTAGGGTCAGATTCGATTTAGGGTCTTGATCTCGATTTCTTGCGGGCCGGCCCTATCGCAGGCACAAGGAAAGAGTAGGACCGTTTCGTGTACATGTAGGCCCACACCCCTAAACTACCCTAAACGCTAAACCCTAAGCCTAAACCCTAAACCCTAAACCCTCCCTGCCGCAAGTTCTTGGCCCAGCATGCCAGGCTGAGAAGAAGCTCGCGGCCTACATCAAGTCGCTGCAGAAAAAGAAGAAGTGAGACCAAACCCTAAACCCCAAACCCTAAACCTTAGGCTTAAGCCCCAAAGTCCAAACCTCAAACCCTGCATCCCTAGCCGTTTAGGGGTTTGAGGCTTGCGAGATACACGCCGTGTGAGTTGCTCCTCTGAGTACGGATTTTGGTGTAGCCAGGTTGATTTTTCGTTTCTACTTTGCACCCTCTCCCCTAAAACCTAAACCCTAACACGCTACAAGCGCCTACGAACCTTCAAGTATTGAAAACGGACACAACCGAGCGGAACGGCTAAACCCCAAACCCTACACCCTAAACCCTAAACCAGCGGCTCCTCCTTGGAGTTGAGCCCCTCATCGATTTTCATTATTCGGCAAGCAGGGCTCATGCTTTGGGTTTAGTCTTAGGGCTTAGGTTAGGGCTGGGAGCTTAGGATTTCGGATTTAGGGCTGGGAGGGCTTAGGGGTTTAGACGCGCCAAACGCCATTGCTGAGAAGAAGAATAGGGCCTCTAGACGCGAAGCTATGTTGCGCCTGCTGGAGCAACATGGATTCTCTAGATGTCGCAGCAATCTGGGGTTTGCGAAAGTAAGCTTTGTGGTACTTTACTTTATCTTTAGATCCTTACCTTTTTTGGGTTTATTGGGTTTCTTATTAAGGCAGCTAAAAGTTTAATTTATAGCTACCATCCTGACCTGAGTGCAGCCAAGGTAAGGGACCCCTAATATCGTCCCCCACATACAAGGGTTCCCTTATAATAAGGACCCCAAGAAGGTCGAATATCCGTTGGGAGCACACAACCCTGAAAACCACTCTGCCCCTTACCCGAAACCGTGCCTCAGGCGATCGTAGTGGCGGGCCTTCGCGGCCTGAAACTGTATAATCCCAAGTTGTTTCTTTGTTTAAGGGTTCAGAGGTAGTTGCCCTTCAAGTTTTTGGGCTCATGGGTAGTTACCCTTGGTGTTACATTTGCCTTGCTTGGGTCGTATCTAGAATTCTCCATCGCGGAACCCGACATCCAGCTACCAGGGGAACTTTCGAGTACGCATGGGCCCTGGCTGCCTCAAGAAGGCTTTTTCGGAACCTTGTGCAAGATGCGCACGCGATTTTCGGTCAGACGGGCTACAAAGCGGCCCTTGGGAGTAGGAAGGCCTACACCTTATTTAGGGTTTAGGGTTTAGCGTTCAGGGTTCAGGGTTTAAGGGCTCTTCATAAAATTCCCTTCAACAAGCACCCTTCGGGCATCCTTAATTTCAAAGCCCTAGATTCTTGACAGGAAAAGTTGAGCAGCTTGGCCTAACTCACTGGCTTGGAACGACACCCGCCGGCTGCCGGGTATGGAAGAGGGCGGGCTCAAAGAAAGACATCTCAGGATCGTAAACTACCGAAGTTCCGCGTGCTTGGAGAATTGAATAAAGCACAACTTTGTAATCCAATGCGTCTGGAGTGTCGATGATGCGCAATGAACAGCGTGAGTTCTGGTTTCATAGCATCGGTATTGTTTGTATCTACCGTATGCTCACGTGTTTCAGCAGCTTCGCATGTCTAGAGGGTGGGGTGCTGCATTTTTCAACGTGTGCTGTGCATTGAAATAGCAACATCATATGCAGTGTCTGGATGACCAGCGTTGTGCACTCCGCATCCCGCATGACACAGCCACAGCTAAAGCCAGCATGCAATGCCTGGATGAAACGTGGGGGGCACACACACACACACATATATATATATATATATACATACATATATATGTATATATATATACATATATATATATATACATATATATATATATACATATATATATATACATATATATATACATATATATATATATATATATACATATATATATATATATACATATGTATATATATATATATACATATATACATATATATATATATATGTGGCGGGCACAGATATTCGCGCGAGTCTCCGGCTTCCAGACATTCACAGGACTTCGTTTCTACATCACGAGCGCGTGGAGGGATACCTGCACAGGTTACAGTATTGCAGTTCCCAGAACTTGCAAAAGCTGCAAACTACCCGAGGTTTTAACCTACAGCAATTCTACATGAGTATGTTGTCAGCTATATTTGCGCACTTGTTCAGCGTCCACAAGTGAGTTTCGTACATGCACGCACGGGGAGTCTCGAATGCTGTCAATAGCAGAATAGCAGATGCCTAGGGACAAAATCGATTTCGATCCGACATAATTGCTTTGTGGTACTTTACTGTAACTTTAGATCCTTACCGTTCTTGGGTTTATTGGGTTTCTTATTAAGGCAGCTAAAAGTTTAATTTATAGCTACCCTCCTGAGTGCAGCCAAGATTGGATCCTGAGATGTGTTTCAGTTCCCTGCCAATTGGAGAAGGTTGGTGCCTGTGTTTCGCAATGATCCTAGGATCCTCCAGCCGTTTCCGAATCCTCCAATGGTTTCCTTTCAAGGAAGTGGGGGAGTTGCTTTGGTTCGCTTGTCGTTAGTACCCTTATTCACTTGCTTAGGCTTTGGTTCCCCTATACACCCCGTTCAGCAACAACAGGCACACTCTTATTCTTCAGTCGTTTTCTTCCTTGAGAACGCCAATGCGTACCAGCCTCTCCAAGTTTTCAAGTTGTGCTCGCTCGTGGTATGTGGCCCTCCCTAAGCCTGTCTCAGACGTTGTCTTTGGGACGTCACAGTTCTTTAGGGTTTAGGGTTTAGGTTTAGGGTTTAGGGTTTAATTAGGGTTTAGGGTTTAGGGTTTAGGGTTTAGGGTTTAGGGTTTAGGGTTAGGGTTTAGGGTTTAGGGTACGTTGCTTTTTGTTAGCGCGGTTTACAGTAAGGGGTCTAGGGGTCGGAGATCATTCGTTGGGGTCTTAGAGCTTTACCCCCGGGTTCCGAGCGTACCAGTACCATCTCTCTGAGGTCTACATGTGTCTATTCACATGCACTTTTCACTTCTCACCGCCCTAAACCCTAAACCCTAAACCCCAAACCCTAAACCCTAAATCCTAGGATTCAAGAAGTGCCGGCTCATGCTTGGTGAAGGGTTGGGTTCAGGATCGGGGCTTTAAGCCTCCAGGGAGTCGGGAGTCGGGGAGTGAGATGCAGCGTCGACAATCCCGAAGCTCTACACCCCTTCATGGGAGCCTCTACCCTAAACCCTAAACCCTAAACCCTTAACCCTTAACCCTTAACCCGTGTCTCGAAGCAGGCTTGCGGTTCAGGGCATTTTCTCGAGCCCGGTTGCACGGGCAACCAGCCTGGCGCCTGACAAGGCCGCAGGCAAGCAAAAAGCCCACGCCGAGGTTTAGCGTGGTTTAGGGTTTAGGGTTTGTGGGGTTTAGGGTAGATAGGGGTTCTGAGTAGGCCAGTGGACACTCAGGTGCTTCTATCCAGGCTGACTCGTCTCCTCCTAATCTTTGAGAGTTCGTACTTGAGAAGGCACCCGCAATGGCAGGCTCACATGGTCGAGGGTTTGGACAATTGAGGGCTGAGGGTTAAAAGGTATCTGGGTAGTTATAGTTATAGAGGTTCATGGGTCTTTATAGCAATAACTCACTAGAACCCGAACTCAGGCAAACACACACACACACACACACACCCATACACACACACACACCCACGCACACACCCACCCACGCACGCACGCACATGCACGCACGCACATGCACGCACACACGCACGCACGCACATGCAGAGACACACTATGGGCACAAACAATGGCCTCTTCAATTGTAAGCAAGCTGTTTTAAGATGCCCATCGCGCTTGGCTCCTATTTGCACACGTACATCTCACCTGGATCATTGGGTTTACAACTGTATACACTTAAGCCACTTGTATCCCGTTGCTAAATCTTGATGAAGCCAGTCAAGATGACGTTGGAGTGTCAGGGCCATGTGGTCGATTCTAAAGCTCCATTCTGGGGAGCCACAAGCTACGGAGCAACCCTAAACCCTTAATCCTTAACCCCTAAACCCTGGACAGTCGTGGGGCAGCTCGGACGTGATGGGGAGCTTGCATACAGCCGAATCCTCTAAGGTCTAAGCCGCAGCTGCTGTTCTTAAAGCATTGGCACTTCTCCTCGTGTGTTAGGTCAGGGTGGCGCATCCTTGCAGCGAGTTTGGCTCAGCTGGTAGATTTGCGACGCGAGCCACAAAGAGACTTGAGGCTTAAGATGGGCAGTGGTCCTGGTGTGGTGCTTCTTGCTGTGCTTATGGCCTCAACGCACGATGTGGTCACGGCAGAGCTTTACAACCCGGGCGGTGCCAGGAGTGTCCCTACCTCAGCCTCTTCAGTCCTGAAATAGGTTCAGCGCCAGATTCGTCTGATCAGGTTAGGGTCCTTAATCGTAAGAAGAGGTGTGCTCTCTACATCTATTTCGGGCTTGGGAAAGGGTTGAGGCTTAGGGTGGTTAGGGCTTAGGGGGGTTAGGCATGCCAGCAAGGTCTCCAACTATATGGACCAACAGTTCAACATGCATGCTCCTCCATTCACGCCGCTTGGCACGCAGGGGCTGGCGCGGCAGCTTCTGTGAACGCCTGGCGCAAGTCGGAGGGCTTGTTCAACCCTGGAGACCAATCGCACGCCCAGAAGGAGTTTGCAAGGGCCAAGGAGCAGTGGGGCCGCGTGGACAACAACAAGTTCGGCAGGACCAAGGATGAGAATTGAGAGCTAGCTGCCCTAGAGGTCTCAAGAGTCACATACCCTTGCAACCCTTGCTAAGGTACATACAACCCCAGTACCCAAGAAGCACTCGGTCGGAGAGTTTTCCGCCGACACACCATCTTCCAAAAGCCTGCGAACGTCGACTGCGCAGCGAAACAAACGGCGTTTGCCTGTTGCCGAGGTTGGAGTGTATGGTTCCGGGTACTTGGAGGATTGGGGGGGACTTTGTAAGTAGGTGCAAAGTCGAGGTATAAGTCGTACCCTATTTGGGGTTATCCTACCTAACAACCCCACATAGTAAGTACATACAAAGTCACCCGATTCTCCTCCATGCATTCTTCCCTTTTTAAACTTCTTAAACCCAGCCCCTGAAACCATAAACTCGCCCTACCCTCCCAAACCCCTACACCCTAAACCTAAGCCCCAAACTAACCGTTCGGTTCATTGCAACAAGCTGACTTCGGTTGGGATGCAACCATCAGGGCTTAGGGTTTAGGATTTGGTCTACGGTTTGGGTCTTGGGGCTCGGAGTTTCGGGCTTGGGAGTTTGGGTCTTAGTTTTTTGCAAGGGACGCTAAACCCCAAGCAGTATAGCCGCCTCTACAAAACTCAGGGGTTGTCTGCTCCATCGTGCTATGCGGTCAGACTGCGTCAGGCTTACACCTGTGTGTACCGGGCATTTGGGCCCTGAACCCTAAGTAGGGTTTTGCAATTTGGCAGAATGTGTGCCCAAGAGTGGAGCCATCTTTCCTGAAAGCTCACCTCAATGCCTACGCCAAACCTTCTTAAGACCCCAAACCCCTAACCAGATTGACGAGCTTCAAAGGCGAAATCTTCCCACCCGAAAACCTAAGGCTTTAGGGTTTTAGGGTTTAGGATTTAGGGTTTGGGGTTTAGGGTTTGGGGTTTAGGGTTTGGGGTTTAGGGTTTAGGGTTTAGGGTAGGGTTCAGGGTTTCGGGTAGGGTTTAGGGTTTAGGGTTTGGGGTTTAGGGCCAACCAACCTAAAGCCTAAACTCCAAGCCCAGGCTCTGAACTTGTCAAGCCCGACATCTAGAAATCTTTAGGATTTAGGATTTAGGGTGTAGGGTTTAGGGTTTAGGGCTAAGGGCTTAGGGTTTAGGGTTTAGGGTTAGTTCATTTCCAGCCATGGCTCATGGCGCCGCGGCCCCTCTTGGCCACCGTGGAGGTGGTTTAGGGGTTTAGGGTTTAGGGTTTAGGATTTAGGGTTTAGGGTTTAGGGTTTAGGGTTTTAGGGTTTAGGATTTTGGGTTTGGAGTTTGGGGTGTCGGGTTGAGTGGTTGAAGGCTGCAGGGATAGAAGGGGCGACCCCCTAGAAGGGGCCCTCTGCCTTCTATAACTCCGACATATGCCTCATATCCTTGTGTGCCTAAGCAGCCCCGACACAAACCCTAAACCCTGAACCCTGAACCCTAAACCCTAAACCCTAAACCCTAAACCCTAAACCCTAAACCCTAAACCCCAAGGTGCCTTATAAGGGCCCCTCCTTTGGTCCCTTGAAGGTTTTCAGGCTTGATCCTAAACTGGAAAACCACAGAAAACCCCATTGGAGCCCTCTGAACCCTAGTAAACCCTGCAAAGCCCTGTACACCCTATCAAAACCTCGAAACCTTAATCCTAAACCCTAACCCTAAACCCTAAACCCTAAACCCTAAACCCTAAACCTTAACCTAAAACTCTAAGCCTAAACCCTAACCCAAAACTCTCAAAACCCTACAGGGCTTCGAGGATCTTGTGACGCACTGGCCAGGACTGCTTGGCAGCGCCCGGCGCCCAAGACGCATTGGCCCTGCAGGAGGAAGAATGGAGCTTCCGAGACGAGGACTCCGCAGGGTTTAGGGTTTAGGGTTTAGGGTGTTAGGGTTTAGGGTTTAGGGTTTAGGGTTTAGGGTTTAGGGTTTAGGGTTTAGGGTTTAGGGTTTAGGGTTTAGGGAGCTTATAGGTCTGGGGTCGAGTGAATATTCGGGTGGAGGGAAAGGGGCCGCGTGAAAGAAGACCTATCATCCTTATTATAGGAACCCCCCCAAAAAAGGGTACCCCGAAACCGTAAACCCTAAGCTCAAGGGAGTAGGGCGTACACTTGTTGGAATCCTTGTGAACTACAGGGTTGAGGTTGTCGGGGTAGGAATGGGTGGGTTGAGGTCCTCAGGGTTTAGGGCTTAGAGTTCATAGGGTTTAGGGTTTAGGGTTTAGGGTTTAGGGTTTGGGTTCATAGGGTTCATAGGGTTCATAGGGTTCATAGGGTTCATAGGGTTCATAGGGTTCATGGGGTTCATAGGGTTCATAGGGTTCATAGGATCTAGGGGTTCATCAGATTTAGAGTGAAGGGTTCATAGGATTTAGAGTTCATAGGGTTTAGGGTTTCGGGTTGCAAGCCTGGTGGGCTCCAGGACAAAGGGCTGAGCAGACGAAATCCAGGAGTTGCCTGGACAACCGACCCCCTGTCGTGCCCCTAAACCCGGTCGACGAAACCTCCCAAACCCTAAACCCTAAACCCCTACTTAACCCAGGTCTCCACCCTTTTTCAGGACCGCACCGTCGTGTTATACCTCCTCGTTCCTCCCGATGCGCGTGGACCAAAGCTGAAGACGCTGAACCAGAGCCTGGGCGCATAAAGCCCGAAATCTCGAAACCACTAAACAGCCCAACCCGCCAATCTCCGAATCCTAAGCCCAAGATCCCTGAAACCCTAAGTAAACCATGAAGCCCCCACATAAACCCTAAACCCAGGAACGGGCTGGTGGTCGTGGACTTCCGGCCTCACGCCCAGAGGGCGTCGATCACGTACCTTTCCATGCCCAGATCGCAGAATCTAGAATCCCCTGAACCCCAAAGCTTTTGGTGTACCGCATTTAGGGCCCTTATTAGAAGGTGTTTGGCGCATCATGTATAAGTAACTTTTGATCTATGTCTGGTCTGGCAGTCATGTACTTTCGGGTTTGAGCATGAACGTGACAGGTTAACGATGATAGATGATGATGAGGAACCGATCATAATACGTCCAGGACAAGAACGAGGAGACCGTTAATATGTGGTGGTGATGACAATGGTGACCTTCTGATAATATCTGATTGGTCGATCATGCTCAGTGCCTCTGTCAGACATGTACAGGTGTTTTATCAGTTGAATGTCTAGATGATGTGCGCTACGACCGCAGCGCTTACCAGCTCAAGAGCGCTCTTTGAGCTTTGCAGTTAGAAAAGATTTCTTTTGCCCCTCGCTGTATAGTCCCCTAACCTCGCTCTGCGTTCTACTAATACTGGAAAGCCATAAGGGGAACCTAGGCGCCAGGGGAGGTGGAACCGGAGAGCATAAGGTGGCGACTGATAGACACCATAAGGGAAACCTAGGTGATACCGGTCAATACGCTTGTGCACCCCTCAGGTCTTGCAAGCCTGAGTATCCTCTTGCATTCGCGGTGCAAGGGTGGTCTTCTGTTGGGAAAGGAGTTGCTCCCGGACCTGACCCGTTGATAGGGATACTATCACCTGGATTGCAACATCAACACCTACACCTGTTTATAGCGATTCTCCTTCCAGCCCTGAGCTCATACCTGTTGGCGCGGGCAACATTTCTTGAATAGTTTGTCTATTCCACCACCTCTTGCAGGTTAAGAGCCTTGTCGGTTCGGCTGTGAGTGGGAATATCGCGATACAGTTTTCCTTTCTTTTGCGACGTCGTGGACGAGATGGCGGATGATAATCAGGACTTGCGTGCGATCCTTGACGCAGCTGCAGATACGCAGGGATCGAATATCTTTGGACTGGAGGACATGCCGGCCAGTAGTGATACATGGGATCCTTTTGGACAGTTGGCTTTGGAAGACGGTAGTCAGGCTCATGCTGAGGTACCTCGAGATGATAATATTGATGAGCTGAGGGCGATTGCAGATATGAGTGTAGCTGATCCGTTGGCATTGGTTAATATGTTTGACGCGGAGCATCACGATAGAGCAGGAAGTCTCACCATCTCTTCGACTTCTGAAGGTTCTGAATCCAGAACGGCGAGGACGAGACGTGATGATAGTACCGCAGGTGGTACGAATATCGGCGGTGAACGTGTGACTGGAACCTTTCATATAATATCGAGCTCTGATGGTGGAGCGATTGCGGGCAATGGAGGGCATGATGAGTCAACTCATAGAAGCCTTATGATGCTGCCCGATCCTCATATTGTTTCAGGTACTGTTCATAATCCTGTTGACGACGTAGGATTAGAGAATAGAGAACAAAATGTGTCTCCTATCAGTCAGTTCTCCTCGACAGGTCTGCGTGAAAGTGAAGAAGATAGGGGACGCGATGTTGTTGACGAGCCTGGACAAAAGCGTGAATACCCCTTCGGGGATGAGGATCCCGCGACTGCGATCAGAGGCATACTCGATCAATCCGGAGTGTTGACAGGGGATGATATAATAGCTGCAGCATCTGCGGGATCTCAAGGTCATGATTTTCACGGGCATACAGGGAATACAGGAGGGACGATGGCAAGCATATTGTTCGGTGAGGAGAATAGAGTTCGTCGCCCTGAGTCAGTTAAAAGGGGCATTGATGAAGGAGTCGGTAGGGAGATTTCCAGAGGGAGGATAATATCGGGCGACGGAGGGGCGACCATGGACCATGCAGCTAGGTCTGACGATGCTTCCGATGCAAGCGCGAAGCGAGTGAGAGGAGCTGAGGACTTCAGTCCTTCTGTTCATATGGCTGGGAGAGTCACTCCTGAGAGAGGTGGAGGCGGAATAAGTGCTTCGTCATCTGGTTTGAACTCACCCGTTCCTACTGGATCGGGAAGGCTCATGGAGCATAATATGTTTACCCCGCCTACTGATAACAAATGTGGGAGCTGGCACAGAGCAGGTTCGAGCCCTTCGAAGAGAATGGCTGGTGCTGGGATATCGCCTGAGAATGAGATGAGGAGAGAGATCCTAGAGATGGATGGAAAGGTTTGTCAGCTGGAAATGATAGTCATCGATGCTAGGGAGGGAGTA